ACTTATCTGTGTGTATAAGGTTTGTGTATTTAGAATGCAGTTAGAAATTATTTTGGTTTAAGAAAGTAGTAGTAGAGGTTTTCATTTAGAGTCTGTGACCTCACCAGTGACAGGTAATTGGCTAGGCTTTTAGTACTTACAGTACTATAGTACTTATAGTACTAGGCATGGATTCCTTTGTATTGAGTGGTCCTTAAGTACAATTAAGCAGCTGTTGATTATCCTAAGATATAAGTGACACTATTTCATTTGTGTATATTTTGCCATGCTAATCATTGTTGTGATACACAGACTTTACATAGGGTAGGACTAGTGATTGCTTTTTTAAAAAATATTGGCAGCTTGTATAATAGCTTCAGATACTATAAGAGCTAGTCCTTAGTAAGGAGGCTTCCCAGTAAGTTCCAGTGTCTGAAGTATGTGTTGTCTTCAACAATTACATCTTACTTTCAAGTTCTAGGAAGAAAGCAAAAGCAGCATCATTAGCCTATATTGCTTGGGTGGGCATGTCTCTTAGACTCTCTTTACCAACAAGTCAAAGGGGGGCTTCCTATGATGCTACTAGGGATTTTGAAATAATTGATAACTCTTCCTCACAAATCCATAGACCATCCTTTGTATTTTTTAAAAAATTAAATTAAATTATGTGTCTGTGTATCTGTGTGTGGAAATATTCTTGATTAGCAAGTGCCTACAAAAGCAAGAAGAAGTCATCATATCCCCTGAAGCTAGAATTATTATTGGTGTCTGTGAGCTTGTAGTTTGGGTTCTAGCAATGGAACTTGGGTCTTCTGTAATAGTAGTATGTACTACTTTAAACCTTGAACTATTGGTTCAGCCCCCAACACTCTTAATGATATAGTTCAGTTGTCTTAAGTGGAGCCAGAAGTTCTGTGTCCTAATCATCCATCCATCCATCCATCCATCCATCCATCCATCCATCCATGCAGCTATCCAAACATTCATCACTTCCTCATATCCAGTCATCCATCTGTCCATCCAAAAACCATTATTGAGCAGTTATTTTATCAGATATTTCTCCTTCAAGGATGTTAAGAGTGGCTTTTAAAATCTAAAGCAGCTTTTTAAGAGACCTTCTTTGCTGTGCCTGAACTCAAAAAGACATACCCTACAGCGTCTACCATATTGAATAATACTGATCACTGTGACAGAGGGAAGAGGATAGTCTTGTATGAAGAAGCAAGACACCCATCCTGAAAATGACACATTCCTCTCTGCTCAAAACTGCCATACTCAAAACATGGCCAGTGAGACTGGTGATGTACAACCTCTAAAAGGCTGCAGGTGCCATCCTAAAACATGTCTATTAGAGGGAGAAATTCAGGGTAAACAGTGCTGAGGGTCGTTACTCTAGAGCCCCACTATGAACATGTCTGGTCATTCATTTACACTATGCTGCAATACATCTTCTCATTTCTATTCTTGTTCTATCAGTTTTCATACCATTGAGTCATGAAATAAGTAGGCAAATAACATAAGGATGCTGGCACACTTACATGGTCGTGAGATCACACAGCTATAGCACTAACAAGGAAGATTCATTCAAGCCCATGCTTTCAGTTTATGGACTCTGTATATTCACTAAAGTGTTTTTTTTCTTAATGGGTGTGTAACTTGGCCAGAATCCACAAATTTCAGTAGTGTATCAAATGGAAAGTAGTCCTCAACAAAGATGTGAAGAAGTATTTGCATTTGGAGTTGACACTCCTGCATCTCAGTGGGTTAACAGATGTACTTAGCTACCATGTGAGGGTTTTCTGGAGTGAATAGGCTTTGCACATGTTCACAGTGGCTTCAAAATAGTCATGGGTGGCTGGGGGCATCTGTCAAAGGTAACAAGACCCTTTCCTGAGATAATGAGTCAAGAGGGACGAATGAGTCTTATTCTTCATGTGTCAGGGATCTTCATGAGATTCAGTTTCTTTGTTCACACATGAAAGACATATACATTTGAAATTAATTCAAAGAAAATCCTTAGTCATTATAATGACAACCAGAGACTGCTATTTTGAAAGGTAAAGGTTTTTCACAGAGTAGTATGAATTGTGTGTCAATGTCTATTAGTTGAGTGGACCCCTTAGCTTCTGAAAGTGCCAAGATACCCTTTTACATCTGCCACCACTGGAATCCAGGGTCAAAATAGGTCCCTATGGCTGTGTAGCCACTCGTAATCTGGATACCTATGTAAAAAGAGTGTGCCTTTGTGGCAACAATATACAAATCTTCCAGCTGCAGTTATAATCCATGGATTTACTCTGGATTTGAGAGTCAAATGATCCATGGATTTCCTCTGGATTTGAGAGTCAAATGAATGCCCATTTCACCTCATTCAAACCAACTTTTTTGTGGGTTTGTGGGACCATTTTCTGACCCTGCTTCACTCTTTTGTGAATCCTGCCAAAGAGGCAACTCCAAAGTTCCAAAGACCCACATGTGGCTTGGACCATGGTCAGCTAGGAAGTGTATGAGGCTAAGTGAATTTACTGAGTCAGGACACAGGCACAATTTATTTTGGAATTACTCACAAACCATGAATCACAAACTTCAAATGCTCATCAAAGCTGTTCTCATAGCATGCTTTTAAAAAGTTTGCTTGAACTCTATAGATTAGTTTTGTAAAATATGACTGGTGCATAAATCCTTTCATAGATATCCTTTATCTCACTCACAGATCAAACACCCAGAAGGTATATCAGATGTATAGTGTGTAATTAGGGAGGCTCCCATGTAGGGCGGCCAGGGAGCAGAGACATCCCTTAAAGGCAGATGCAGACTGACCTGAATGAACAGAGAGGAAGAAGGAAAACTGGCAGGAACTTTCTGGCTGACTTTTTCAGAGTTTACACAGCCCTTGGGGAGCCCTCAGACTGAGGACACCAATCAGAATATTATCTGTCTTCCTGGAAAGGCGCCTCTTAATGTCCATGCCATCTCAGTCCCCAGGGGGAGCAACTTATCAAAATTAAGTTTAGGGGTTGGTGAGTTTCCCTCTATGAAGGCAGAGTTCTGAATGCCACAGATACATGAAACTGATACTCTGCATCACACAGACAGGACAAACTTGATCAAGAAAGACAAATTTATAATGTTTTCAGTGGTCTCTGTGGGAGGCATTGTGAACACGCAAGGATATCATCTACCTCACTCTCCTTTCTCAACATAAGTAATTGTGTGTGCATTTATGTTCTGTGTGTGTGCACATGCTAATCTGACTCACAAGTTCTTAAGCAAACCTCCCATTTTAAAGTAATTACCTTATTTCAGAAATTCACTACATCCAGTCTGTGTATGTGCCTGTAGGTGCACACCGCCTCCAGCAAATCTGTGCCATATTTTCTCATTCTCCGTTATCTCCAGCCTTTTCTTATCCTGATGAATTAAATTTTCTCTTTGGGGGAAAGGAGGAAAACCTAGCTATAATCTCTTCATACTTCTATATGTGGCCAAACTTGCCACATATACTGCTTATAAGATTAAAAACAAATGACTAATGCACACACTTGAATGCGTCCTGGGCTTTCTCCGTGGTCTTTACTCTCCCCTCAGCAGTCTGTTGTCAGTGAGGCATATCGAATGAAGTCTGCTGACAGACACTGGAGCTGCTCCGAGGAACTGCCTGCTCTGCCAGCTCACAGTCTAAAGTTAAGGACCATCCTGTAAAATCTTTGCTGTTTCACAAATTCGGGCAGGAAAGTTAAGTGCATGCATGCTTTCTTAGTTAGGATTCCTATTGCTATGGTGAAACACAATGGCCAAAAGAGCAAATTGGGGAGGAAAGGGTTTGTTTGGCTTATACTTACATATGGCTGTTCATCGCTGAAGGAAGTCGGGACAGGAACTCAAACAGGGCAGGAACCAAGAGGATGGAGCTGATGCAGAGACCATGGAGGGCTGTTGTTTACTGGCTGGCTTCTTATGACTTGCTCAGCCCACTTTCTTATAGAATCCAGGATCATCTGCCCAGTGATGGCACCACTCACCATGGGTCCTCCCGCATTGGTCACTAATTAAGAAAATACCCTGTAGATGGATCTTATGGAGACCTTTTCTCAAATGAGGTTTCCTTCTTTCAGATAACCCTAACTTGGCCAAGAGGAGCTGGACACCATCAAGGTCATTTTCTGAATGACAAGCATGACCAGACTTGATGAAACCTTGGTGCTGTGAAATTCTGGGCTCCAGAGTAGCGGAAGGTCTTCAGAGAGAAGACTGGTCCCAGGGAAGAAGGTTGAGTTAGGCTAGCAGAGAATGTGTTGCTTGCGTTAAACCCAGGCATGTGTCCCAGGCTGGGCCTTTTGCAGAAAGCCTCTCAGTAGGCTGAAGCTGCAAGGCTACAGAGGATGTTTTCTGGGCACGCGACTCAGACAGGATTCACCGGAAGTCCTCATTTCCACACGTCTGATTCCTCCCAGAGGGACCTAAAGAAAATTCAAGAAGACCCTTTCCGCTGCAGTGTACCTTCTGCACTCTGCTGAGGAAGCTTAACCTTGTACTCATTTTAAAGGAAGAGCAGGAAGGAATCACCAGGTTTGCAATGCAGCGTACGAGGAAATGTATGTTTAAAGCAGACAGGCAATACATTACCCAAAAGCGGAATCACAGCAAAGAGATGGGCACACAGAGATTGCCCGTTTCTTACTAGCACTTTCCTTTGATGGAAGGGTTGCTACTGTGCATGGGATGAAATAATAATTCAATATGTGTGTACAATATGTAATAATTGAATTGAGATAATGAGCATTCCCACCCCCTCAAATATTTGTCATGCGCTAGATTATTGAAATCCAGATACTGTCCTTTTCTTCAGCGAATCTGGATTATGTCTAAACATGTTGGAATGCATCTAAAACTCGGGTAGCTGTGTTAATATCTGTGCCATTTACTCTTGCACTCTGTTTAACTGGTCACCAAGTTGAGAGACTCCACTTGTAACGTATTAAAATGTCTACTTCATGTTTCTCTCATTTGTATTTTCTCAGGTCTTATACAACATCCTAATTGCCTTCACTAAGATGCATAAATTTGAGGACATAGAGCCCGTGGACATTTTGGCTGGATGTGCCAGATTTGTCATCGTGGGGTGTGGGGGAGTATTCTTCGGCATCATTTTTGGATTCATTTCTGCATTTATCACACGTTTCACTCAAAATATCTCTGCAATTGAGCCACTCATCGTTTTCATGTTCAGCTATCTGTCTTACTTGGCAGCCGAGACACTTTATCTCTCCGGCATCCTGGCGTGAGTACGATCTATGGATGTGGTCCCATGGGAATAAGTAGACGACCTGGGAGCTGGATGACCTGTGTTCAGGCTGGATGACCAGCCTGAAGCTGGTCCCTTGAGGCACTGCAGGGTTTAGGATGCTGCAAGCTGATTCTGGCCTTTTGCCAAACAAATGTTCCCCGCGACATTTGCCTGAGGACGCCTAGCAATCAGAATGTCAATTTAAGATGTTCAGGGAAGCTGGTGTGAAAAAGAAGAGCTGGGAACAATTCAAGCTTAAAGTCCATCTGAACAGTTTCTTTACTTCCTCAAAAGACTAATTTTAGAGCCAGGCGTGGTGGTACACGCCTTTAATCCCAGCACTCAGTAGGCAAAGGCAGGAGCTCTATGTGTTTGAAGCCAGCCTGATCTACATAGTGAGTTTCAGGACAGCCAGAAGAGACCCTGTCTCAAAAAAATAATGATAATAATAATAATAGCAACACCACTAATAATGTCATGAGGAACTTTCATTCTAGGCTCTGCCTGTTGTTATTTCCCTCCTACCCCATCACAACCAACACTCCCCAGGGGACAGTAAAGCTAGAGGTACATGGGCTAAGTGCTAATGTTCAGTTGCTTGTCCTAACTAAAACATTTCTTTAGATGTCCAACCTCATATCCTTGTAACTTTGAAATGTTTTTCCTAGAATGAAGCTTCTCAGTTTGGCTTAATAGATCTGGTCTCTACACAGGCAAACAGATTTAATTGTATTATATAGAAATCTCTATGTCAATTAAATGTAATAATATAGACTTTAGGTACCATTATTTTTCTGCCTTAAAATGACCACAATTGCCAGGGCAAGAAAAGGACTTTCTTTACTCTATGAAAGGTAAATGACTCCAGAAAAGAAAAACTCGAAGTGTTTGACAAGCATTGTTATAAGAAATACCATTTGGGAGCTGAAGGTAGTATGTATGTAATGACAGCACTCGGAAGACAGAGGCAAGAAAAAAATTTAATTAAAGAAGAACATGCTGAGTGTTCTGTCTGTTCATCTGAAGTACATTTATTCGGGTTTGGGGCAGAGTCAAGTATCCTCTAGCTAGAGCTGGTGTTGAAAAAGTTTTCTGGGAGAGAATGGAGGTCCAAATGCATTTTGCTTCTGATTTTCCTTAGTGAATGGCCTGCTGGTGTGCATTTGTGCGCCTGTGCGCATGTGCGCACCCGTGTGCGTGTGTGTGTGTGTGTGTGTGTGTGTGTGTGTGTGTGTGTGTGAATGAAGGCCGTGCCACACCCACTTTCTTACCACACTGGCTTTATCTTGTACTTGAGTGAAGAGGAAAGCAGCAAGTCTGTCATCTATAGACAGAGATTGACAGGTCTACAGACAGGATGAAACACTGATTCTGGGTAGAGATGGGCTTCCTCTGTATACAGTCTTGCTTTTTTTTTTTTGGCAGGTAATCTCTGTGGTGTGACAAACACTGTTTCTCCCTGGGTCTCTGCTTCTTTTGTAGAATCACAGCGTGTGCGGTGACAATGAAAAAGTATGTGGAAGAGAACGTGTCCCAGACGTCCTACACAACCATCAAGTACTTCATGAAGATGCTGAGCAGCGTGAGCGAGACCCTCATCTTCATCTTCATGGGCGTGTCCACCATTGGGAAGAACCACGAGTGGAACTGGGCTTTTATCTGCTTCACACTGGTCTTCTGCCAGATCTGGAGAGCCATCAGTAAGACACACCAGGGCTCCAACACTTTCCTGCCCCCCACTTCCTCCCCAGGTTTTCCCTCTGTTGAACCAGAAGGAGAGAGCCAATGCTATGAGTTTCCTGCACAGGGGAGTGCAGACAGCTCATCCTTACTGACTAGAAACATTCTATTTGTCCTCCTCAGACAACACAGAGCCACCATCAGCTGACTAGAGGTTCTCCTCAGAAGCGAGGATGGGACAGGGAGTATTTTGTGTTTTGATGGGTGAGAGCACTTTCACATCTACACATTTAAAAATAACTCTGTAAATATATCTGTTGCTCCACTTCCTTGCCAGCTTGTAGGCTCTTGCATGCTAACTCAGATATAGATTATAAACTGTGAGCATTTACACTTCTGATACAAGATAAGTGAGATCTCACAAAGAGTATTCTATGTAAGACAAACACTGCCGGGACACATTCACATAGACAATACAGCTGGTCTAATGGATGAATGAGTGAAGAGTATAAAGCCAGCAAAGGATCAAGGAGTGAATTATTATTTTTTCTGGCTTTCATTCTTTCTTTTGTGAGTTACTATTTTTAAAAGTGTTCATTTTGGAGGACTGGGGAAACTGTTCAGTTAGTAATGTGCTTGATGCACTATAATGAGGGTCTGGGTTCAGATTCCCAGGACCCCCATAAAAACCAGGAATGCTACCTGTGCCTGTGATTCCAGTGCTGGGGAGAGGGAGGCAGGAAGATCCCTAGGGCTTGTTTGTGGTCAGCCAGTTCAGCCAATCGGTGAGTTTCAGTTTCAGAAAAGGCCACGATCTCAAAAATAAGGCAGAGAAGATATTTAAAAATACAATGATCTTGGTCCCCTTTGGACTCTGTACACACACACACACACAGAGAGAGAGAGAGAGAGAGAGAGAGAGAGAGAGAGAGAGAGAGAGAGAGAGAGAGAGAGAGAGAGAGAGAGAGAGAGAGAGAGAGTGCACCCTTAATTATACTCTGGAGAGTAATTTCCACTATAAGGAATAAGATCCAGTGGCAGTTATTTGTATTTCAGGAGCTAGAAAAGAAAATTATCACTGAGCTACAATATATATGTTGCCTTTTTATTGGAGGAATGCGTATGGTTTTATAAAAGGAACAGAGACTGAGAGAGAAACAAATATTTGCTACCCCAACAAAATAAGGTTGTATGTATAGGAAGCCCATCTCTAATATATATTATATATAATATATTTGCAACAGTGTCTTACTATGTTATCCTGGGCTAACCTGAAATTCACTATATAGATCAGGTTGGCTTCAAACTCATTGAAATTAATCTACTGATATGTGCTGGGTCCTGGAGTTAAAGCAAGTTGTGTACCATCACACCCATTGAAATGTGTGTGTGTTTGTGTGAGTGTGTGTGTGTGTGTGTCTGTGTCTGTGTGTGATTCTTTTCAAAGTTTTATTTTAAATAATTTGGCCAATTGTTTTCAGCCAATTTTAATGTATATTAAAATTAGTTTATGATAGCATTGGGGATGCAGAAATTAATGATAAGAGGGCCTGGAATGACTCAACAGTTCAGAACACTGTCTGCTCTTCCAGAGGATCTGGGTTTGAGTTCCAGGACCCACATGGTAGTTCACAGTCAACTGTAACTCCAGTTCCAGAGGACACAATGTACCATGGACACTACACACATGTTTTGCATGTACATACATATACAGAGCCAAAACATATACACATAAAACAAAAATAAAAAATTAAAAGTACAAGAATATAAAATACAGATATATTAAAAGGCTAAGAGTAGCTGCATATATGCTTATTTTTGATGGAAAAATTCAAGGCTGTTGTGCTATAAACTTAAAATCTCACATTAAATTTTGGTGTGATTTCTGACTGTTTGGAGCTGGACAGACACTTATCTATTTAAAGTGTTGTTCCTCAGTCTAAAAATAACAGGTTTGGATAAAAAATTATCAATCCCTTCCTGTTATGGTACTCTACAGTTCTACAGGGAAGCAGCATTAATGTCAAGAGAAGTGAAACAGGAAAGATTCAGCCAAGCAAACAGGGAAATGAGCCATTTGGATGGAGGGGTTCTGTTTATCCAGACCCTCACCACAATCCTGTAACAGAGAACTGTTGAGAGAGTGGATGGCTGGAACAGGTCACTGTGACTCCAACAGCTTGCATGAGAATACAGATCATTGCCAATTCACTCTCCATTCCAACTCATTATCTCTAATCATAGCTAATTGACTGTCAATGCTTATGTATATGAGGCAGTTTCCTGTTATTTATGAGAATAGTGTTTATCTAACTTTCCATCTACCTACTTAGGTAAGTACACTTGGTTTTCTGTATCTGTGGATTCTGCAGCTTTGATTTTATAGATCAATAGTTTTGAGGAAAAAATGCATCTGCATTGCACATGTGCAGACTTTATTTCTTGTTATCATTTCCTAAACAATACAGCATAGCAACCATGTTGTTTGCAATCCAGAGACAGCTCCAAGTATCCAACAGAATGTATATGTCTATACCCAAATGCTTCATGCAATAGAGAAAGATTTGGGCATTCATGGAAATGGATATCTGTGAGAGTCCTGGGCACTGTGTCCTGTAGAAACTGAGGGTTGACTGTGCTGTTGTTGTCTCTGGTATCTGATGATATGGAATGATGGGAACCTTGCCCAGTATCACCTGGCTTGCAGGTGAAGAAAAGCTCGAATAAAGCACCAACAAAACCTGTAAATTCTGCTCTCCCTTTTAGTCCAATATGCCTGATATAAAAAAGGCTTTCCATGAGACGTGAGGGATATCAAGAGATGACACTTTTGAAAGGTTCACTCAAAGTTTGAACAGAGGAACCATTCTTGCTAAGAACCAGCATGTCAGTAGTGGCTTTCATGTGGGACAAATGGCCATGGAGAATCTGTATGGTGAAAACACTTCCATGCTTGCACAAGCTTTTCTGCCCTCCAGCCTCCATTTATTACTACACTCACCGACAGTAAGTGTATCCCATGCCTATTCCTACCCAAACCCTTACAAACTTTCTTGCTTGTTTCCGTAAACCTCAAGCACCAAGTCAGCCATAAGAGATTTGCCCATCATGTACAGTCCATAGTCATGGAGGAATCTCCCTTCATATTCAAATACAGACCGCTTGGGGGTACCCCCTGAAATAAGAGATTTTTATTCCACAGACATTCTTTCTTTAAATGTTTTGTGTTTTTGTTTTTTTTCTTTTCCTATTTAAATTAGAAAAAAGCTTGTTTTATATGTCAATCCCAGTTCCCTCTCCCTCCCTTCCTTCCCTGTCCCCCACCAGCCCCCTATCCCATCCCCTTTCTGCTCCCCAGGGAGGGTGAGACCTTCCATGGGGCAATCTTCAAAGTCTGTCATATAACAACAACAAGTGAACTGGGAAAACTAGAGAAAACCTCAAACTCAAAGATCCAAATACATCACAGGAACGTGGAGTGTTGAGAGAGGGTCTGTTTGAGACGAATGATCTTGGGTGTGATAGGATCAGGCTACCTTGCTGAGTCTCTACATCTCCACCGCCCATGTCCCACTGCTCTAATACATATCTCCCCCTTTCCAGGCGTATTTACTCTCTTCTATGTCAGTAACCAGTTTCGGACTTTTCCCTTCTCCATCAAGGACCAGTTCATTATCTTCTACAGTGGTGTGAGAGGCGCTGGAAGCTTTTCCCTTGCGTTTTTGCTTCCTCTGTCCCTTTTTCCTAGGAAGAAATTATTTGTTACTGCTACTTTAGTAGTTACATATTTTACTGTATTTTTTCAGGTTGGTAGATTTCTTTCATATTTATACGTATGTTCTTATATATTAAATTCTTAAGATGTAAATAAAGATGTTGTATCTAGTGTCTAGAATTCTGGTTCATCCTCTAAAATTGGAGTCTAAATGGATTCTAAACTACTTAGAGGCCATGCTCATGGCAAAGCTTTAACTTCTGAAAAACATTGTCTTTGAGTCAATACAGCATATTGATCAAAATATTCCCCAATGAGGCGTGAACAATTGTTATTCTGTTTATCTTGGAAACAACTGGACAGCAACTGGTACTCCATAACACAGTGTTTTGTTTTAGCTGGAGTTAGGTCTTAATGAGGCAATTAAGATTTATTTAAAGACATTAAGACACTGTATTAAAGTAGATTATAACATGCATTTTGTTGGAGTGGGTAGAAGAAATAAGAATTAAAGTAAGTTTGATGCATTTAACCCCATAGAAAGTAGAAACAAACACAAGTTGGTCATTTTATAATTTTGATGATAGAATTGTACTCTATAGTAACAATGTTCACCACATGGAAACTCTTTATTTTGTTATTTTTGATTCAGGGAATCACAATTGGCCCACTGGTCAGGTACCTGGATGTCAGAAAGACCAATAAAAAAGAATCCATCAATGAAGAGCTTCACGTCCGGGTAAGTTAAAGCTGTCCTTTCTGATGAGTGAATAAGATGTTTCCCATGTATCACTTTTTTTAATTTTATTTTTTATATATTTTTTATTTTTAAATTTAAATTAGAAACAAGGTTGCTTCACATGTCAATTCCAGATCCCTCTCCGTTTCCTTCCCATCCTCCCGTGCCCTCCCACCAACCCCTCCATTTCCCCGGGGAGGGTGAGGCCCTTCATGGGGGTGTCCATAGTCTGTCATTTCATCCAGGGCAGGGCCTAGAACCTCCCCTAAGAGTTCAGGGTGAGAGTGCATTTCTTATTGTTGGATGGGAGTCCAAATTCCATTTGTATACCCGGGATAAATACTGATCTACTACCCAAGGTTCAATAGATTACCTAGGTCTCCTCACTGACACCCACATTCAGGGGGTCTTGATCAGTCCATACTGATGCTGGATTCTCAGGCATCAGTATGGGATTCAAGAGCTAACCCTTGTCAGATCAGCTGTTTCTGGGGGTTAAACTAACCCAGTCTTAATGCCTTTGGTCATCAGTCCTCCCTCTCTGTCACTGGATTTCTTGAGTTCAGCTTAGTGCTTAGCTGTGGGAGTCTGCCTCTGCTTCCATTAGCCACTGAATGAAGGTTCTGTTTCCCAGACTCACTGGCCATGGGATTGTAGGCTGACACTCCACAGATCTATGTTTGAAATCCATATATGAGAGAGTACATGCCATGTTTCTCTTTTTGTGACTGGGTTACCTCACTCAGGATGGCTTCTTCCAGTGTCATCCATTTGCCTGCAAATTTCAGGATTCCATTGTTTTTTCTGCTGAATAGTACTCCATTGTATAAATGTACCACATTTTCTCTATGTACTTTTCTGTTGAGGGGCATCTAGGTTGCTTCCAAGTTCTGGCTATTACAAATAGTGCTGCTATGAACATAGTGGAACAGACATTCTTGTTGTATGAATGGACATCTTTTGGATATATGCCTAAGAGTGGAGTTGCTGGGTCTTGTGGTAGGTTTATTCCCATTTTTCTGAGGAATCTCCATACTGATTTCCAAAGTGGCTGTACAAGTTGGCACTCCCACCAGCAGTGGAGGAGTGTTCCCCTTTCACCACATCCTCTCCAGCATAAATTGTCCTTGGTGTTTTTGATTTTAGCCATTCTGACAGGAGTGAGATGGCATCCCAGAGTTGTTTTGATTTGCATTTCCCAGATGGCTAAGGATGTTGAGCACTTTCTCAAGTGCCTCTCAGCCATTTTAGACTCCTCTATTGAAAATTCTCTATTTAGTTCTGTAGCCCACTTTTTAATTGGATCCTTTGGTGTTTTGGAGACTTGCTTCTTAAGTTCATTGTAAATTTTGGAGATCAGCCCTCTGTCAGATGTGGGGTTAGTGAATGTATTTTCCCATTCTGTGGGCTACCTTTTTGTCTTGCTGACTGTGTCCTTTGCCCTACAGAAGCTTCTCAGTTTCAGGAGGTCCCATTTATTAATTGTTGATCTCACTGTCTGTGCTACTGGTGTTATGTTTAGGAAGCTGTCTTCTGTACCAGTTCGTTCAAGGGTACCACCCACTTTCTCTTCTAAGAGGATCAGTGTGGCTGGATTTATGTTGAGGTCTTTGATCCAGTTGGAGTTAAGTTTTGTGCATGGTGATAGACATGGATAGAGCTGGATTCTTCTACATGCCAGCATCCTGTTACCCCAGCGCCATTTGTTGAAGATGCTTTCTTTTTTCCATTTTATATTTTTAGCATCTTTGTCAAAGATCAGATATTCATACATGTGTGGGTTAATATCAGGGTTTTCAAGTTGATTCCATTGGTCTACCTGTCTATTTTTGTGCCAATACCAAGCTGTTTTCAGGACTATAGCTCTATAATAGAGCTTGAAGTCAGGGATGGTGATGCCTCCGGACGTTGCCTTGTTGAACAGGGTTGTTTTGGCTATCCTGGGTCTTTTGTTTTTCCATACAAAATTGACTATTGTTCTTTCAAGGTCTGTGAAGAATTTTAATGGGGATTGCATTGAATCTGTAGATTGCTTTTGGCAGGATTGTCATTTTTACCTCATTGATTCTACCTATCCAAGAGCATGGGAGATCTTTCCATTTTCTGAGGGCTTCTTTAATTTCTTTCTTTAAAGACTTGAAGTACTTGTGATACAGGTCTTTCACTTGTTTTGTTAGCATTACCCCAAGGTATTTTATGTTGTTTGTGGCAATTGTAAAGGGTGATGTTTCCCTGATTTCTTTCTCAGCCCTTTTATCATCTGTATATAGTAGGACTACTGATTTTCTTGAGTTGATCTTGTAGCCTGCCACTTTGCTGAAGGTGTTAATCAGCTGTAAGAGTTCCCTGGTAGAGTTCTTTGGGTCATTTATGTAAATAGTGAAAAGTTTGACCTCTTTCTTTCCAATTTATATCCTCTTGATCTCCTTTTGTTGTCATATGGCTCTGGCTAGAATGTCAAGTACAATATTGATAAGGTATGGAGAGAGTAGACAGCCTTATCTTGTTCCTGATTTTAGTGGAATTCCATTGAGTTTCTGTCCATTTAGTTTGATGTTGGCTGTTGGTTTGCTGTATATAGCTTTTATTATGTTTAGATATGTTCCTGTTATCCCAGATCTCTCCAAGATCTTTATCATGAAGGGGTGTTGGATTTTGTCAAAGGCTTTTTCAGCATCTAGTGAGGTGATCATGTGATTTTTGTTTTTCAGCTTGTTTATATTGTGGATTACATTGATGGATTTTCGTATGTTGAACCATCCCTGCATCCCTGGGATGAAATCTACTTGATCGTGGTGAATGATTGTTTTGATGTGTTCTTGGATCCAATTTGCCAGTATTTTATTGAGTATTTTTGCATCAATGTTCATGAGAGATATTGGTCTGAAGTTCTCTTTCTTAGTTGTGTCTTTGTGTGGCTTGGGGATCAAGGTTATTGAAGCCTCGTAGAAAGAGTTTGGCAAAGACCCTTCTGCTTCTATTGCATGGAATACTTTGAGAAGAATTGGTATAAGCTATTCTTTGAATTTCTGGTAGAATTCTGCACTGAAGCCATCTGGATCTGGGCTTGTTTTGGTTGGGAGACTTTTGATGACTGCTTCTATTTCCATAGGGGTTATAGGTCTATTTAAATTGCTTATCTGTTCTTGATTTAGTTTTGGCAAGTGACAGCTATTCAGGAATTCGTCCATTTCCTTCAAATTTTCTAATTTTGTGGAGTGCAGGTTTTCAAAGTATAACCCGATGATTCTCTGAATTTCCTCAGAGTCCGTTGTTATGTCCCCCTTTTCTTTTCTGATTTTGTTAATTTGCATGTTCACACTCTGCTGTTTGGTAAGTTTGGACAAAGGTTTGTCTATCTTGTTGATTTTCTCAAAGAACCAACTCTTCGTTGCATTGATTCTTTGTATTGTTTTCTTAGCTTCTACTTTATTGATTTCAGCCCTCAATTTGATTATTTTCTGGCATCTACTCCTCCTGGGGGAGTTTGCTTCTTTGTGTTCTAGAGCTTTCAGCTGTGCTGTTAATTCTCTAGTATAACTATTCTCCAGTTTCTTCATGTGGGAACTTAGTGCTATGAACTTCGCCTGTAGCACTGCTTTCAAAGTGTCCCATAGGTTTGGGTATGTTGTGTCTTCATTCTCATTGAATTCTAGGAAGTCTTTAATTTCTTTTTTTACTTCTTCTTTGACCCAGAAATGGTGCAGTTGTGCATTATTCAATTTCCATGAGTTTGTAGGGTTTCTGCAATTTGTGTTGTTGTTGAATTCTAATTTTAAAGCATGGTGGTCTGATAAGATGCATGGAGTTATGCCAATTTTTTTGTACCTGCTAAGGTTTGATATGTTGCCACGTATGTGGTCGATTTTTGAGAAGGTTCCATGTGGTGGTGAGAAGAAGGTATATTCTTTTTTATGTGGATGAAATGTTCTACAGATGTCTGTTAATCCCAGTTCGGTCATTACTTCTATTAGACCTTTTGCTTCTTTGTTGAGTTTCTGTCTGGTATTCCTGTCTAGTGGTGAGAGTGGGGTGTTGAAATCTCCCACTACAAGTGTGTGGGGCTTTTGATAGTCATCTAGAGCCTTCAGGAGACTGTGTACATGTCAGGAGACATGTAGACTCTTCCTTCTAGCTCCACTGAAAGGACTATACTTCTTTACTATTGCTGCTGCAGGGAAGTAGCACAACTGTAGTGGTTTCTAATAAAGCAAGAGTGTTACCTTAGAGTTTTGAAAAAAGACCTTTGGAGATGTGGCATTGTTTTACTCTTTGCTCTTTGGCTCTTTGTTCTTTGCTTTTTTGGGAGCCTGCCACCTAGCTCCCAAATAAATACACACACGGATTTTTATTCTTGTTTATGAATTCCCAGCCTTAGCTTGGCTTGTTTCTAACGAAGTTTTCTTAAGTTAAATTTTTCTTCTACCTTTTAACTTTGGCCTTTTATCTTTCTCTGCTTCTGTCTACCTTTATTTACTTCTTTCTCTGTGGCTTGCTGTGTAGCCGGTTGGCTGTCCCCTGGAGTCCTCCTCCTTCTCACACTTCTAGATCTTTCCTATCTATTCTCTCTGCCTTCCAGTTCCATCTATCCTTTCCCCTGCCTTACAATTGGTTGTTTCAGTTCTTTATTAGAACAATCAGATGTTTTAGGTAGGCAAAGTAACACAGCTTCAAAGAGTTAAACAAATGCAGCACAAAAGAATGCAGCACATCTTTGCATCATTAAAAATATTCCACATCATAAACAAATATAACACCTCTTAAAACAGTAATTAGCAACCAAATTGGATCCCACTCGTGGTGTTTCAGTGCTATATTCCCTTCTCGAGGCTCTAGGGAAGAGTGGCTGTTTCTCTCCATCTCCACAGACTTCCTACATTGTCATGGCCAGACGGTGAAAGCTAGGGTCCTGCACATGATAGGCAAATACAGTGTCACTAAACTATGTCCTCAGCCCAACAAGTGGAGTTCTTAACTCAAGAATCCTAAAATTCCTCTGCTCTCAAGGTCTTTCAGCTGATCTAATCAGGTCACTTGTATTGTCTGGGATCCCTTTCTTTGTTTAAAGCAACTGATGGCAAGCTCTACTTGCATCCACAGAATGCAGTCACAACAACATACAAATCAGCACTTGATTGGATAATTGGATATTTTCATAATCAAGTTAAAACCCCAGAAGGATGTCACACTGCTAATATTCAATGTGCTGGCCCTCGTGGCTGCTGCAGTCATTGTTTCACAGGAATATGGCTCCTATTCGTCTGTTTGAGTTCAACATGGCATTAAAACTATGATATTCAAAATAACTCCCATAAGTAGAAACAAGAACTAGCATGTAAGAGACATACAGGCACACATATGCATGTACACACCCATGCACACACTCATGCATACACACTCATGCATATACAATGCACACATGTATGCACCCATGCATACATACATGAACACACATGCACACATGAAGTGTTCACCAAAATGACTGTGTACAAGTAATGCCTGTGAAGCCATGTCATTACAGCTGCTCCTGAGCTAAGTAGAATAATTTGACTAGATTTTTTTATTTTATTTTTACACCAAAGGAGTCATACTTCTGATCATTTTAAAGCTATAGAGATGTGTGAAATCTGCATATGTTATTCTTGAATTTCATACCAATAAATGCCTGAGGAAATGAAGTCATTTAAATTCTAGGAAATCAAAATAAAAGGTTGCAAAGTTATTTGAGAATATTTAAAAGATTAGGACAGAGAATGCTAAAAAAGAAGCTATGTTGATACTTTAAACTGATTATACATTTTTGTCTTTACCCTTATCTCCTTTTTTTAAAAATAGAAATTAGCAACATGTCTTTTAATGGGCATTTTAACTTCTTCCTCATTTATTTTTCCTTCTTACAAAGTTATGACTAAGGTCAACTCTGATGGTACAAGCCTTTAATCCAACACTTGAAGACCAGAGGCATGTGGCTCTTTGTGAGTTTGAGGCCAGCCTGGTTTACACAGAGAGACTCTATCTTGAAAAAAATTTTATGATTATCATTAGAAGACAGTATATCAATTAATGGTTTACATAATAACTTCAAATTTTTATTTTTCCAAAATAAAACAGAAGCCATCATAAACCAAGATATAGATGTATTTATAGGATTTTAAGATATTTCTCCTTAAAAATTCTTATATGTCATTATGAACAAAACAAAGAGTATAATTGACTTGTGTGTTGACTGTAAATTCCTGAACTAAAGGATTTAATTTTAAGATGAAAGTCTCTCTCTCTCTCTCTCTCTCTCTCTCTCTCTCTCTCTCTCTCTCTCTCTCTGTGTGTGTGTGTGTGTGTGTGTGTGTATGAGAGAGAGAGATCTTATATTGGTTTATAAATATGATGATTGGGTATTTATGCCTTCGCCTTCTTTGTTACCTATCTGACATGAAAAGAATGAAGAATACGGACAAGTGTGTGTGTTTATTATTTTAGTAGAGCATCTGAAGAATTATACTTGGGTAACTATGTAAATTACACATGTGATTTTCTTTCACAATGAAAGTAAAAGTAATAGCTAATCATTATACTTTGCATTCACATGATTCAATACTGAGAAATTTCTAGATCTTTCTGGAAAATCATTATTTAAACCAAGTGCTAGGCACACTATTTTCACTATATTTCATGCAAATTATCAAGAAGTTTGTCATACTCTTTCAATTATGAAGAGAAAGAATTTCTATGAAAAGCATGACATATTTCTATTGGCATGACCAGAATGCTAGGAAAGAGGTTATTCTTCAGTCTAACGTTCTCCCAACTGAGCTATTTTGGCAGTGCTGGAAAGAGGTTATTCTTAATTAAAGTCTTCCTTAGTTTACAAAGCCTATAGATTTTTTTGAGTGTTAGCCTTTTAGAGTTCACATTTCACTAACATTTCATCATATTCTGTTTGGTTTGGCAGCTGATGGATCATCTGAAGGCTGGTATTGAAGATGTTTGTGGGCAATGGAGTCACTACCAAGTGAGAGACAAGTAAGTAGTTTAGGGTTTCATTGCCTAACAATGAATGGCTACTTGAGGTATGGGGAGCCTGGGAGATGAAGGACCCAGAGTTATACTATACAAGAAACAAGACAAGAGAGTTGTCTGGAGAAAGCTGTAGAGGTTGGGCAGGTTGCCATGAAGAGGAATAGCACAAGCAGAAAATGGGAAGTAGAAAGTCATATTTAAGTTGAAAACAAAGGCAGTGAGTACTCCCTTCCTCCTGACAACAGTAGCTCAAACATGTGATCATCAATTTCATGAAGTTTAAGGGCCTGGATAAACTCTATTGGAGCCCTCTAAGAGTCACTGGTAAACAGCAATTCTTCTGAGATGCCTAGAGCCTTTCTTGCTCACCACAGCCCACATTTCTGAATGGATTCTTTTAATCTCAAGATGGAGGAATGTGTCTGGAGCCATCAGCAAGTAGCCAGCAACTACATCATGGGCATGTGTGAGATTTTATAAAAGGTGGAAGACACAAACTGAACATAGGACTTAGAACTCCCCATCTAATGGAACTGATGAGGAAATGGAAGAGCGGATGAAGCCAGGCAGAGGTGAACAGTGAGGATGGGGAAGGATGCAGGAGAAAGCCAACATGATAAGAATGACCCACCAAATCAAGAGACATAAGTGGCTAACAGGGTTCGGGCAATGGAGCCACATCAGTTGACAAGTACAAGGTCAAGATGGACTCAGTAAGAGAAATGTCAAATGCATTGGGAAGACAGATTTTGGGAGGAGCTGAGTACAGAGGGTTGAGGATGAATCACGGCACCTCATGACAAAGAGCAGAAGGCCAAAGGGTGGCCTACTTGAAAAGAACAGGTAGATCTAAGCCAAAAAGGGGACAAAGCTCTGGAGGTCAGTCTGCCATACACAGAGGGGACGTAACTGATGGTGTCTGTCTACCTTACGGTCCAGGGAAACAAACACTAGACAACAAGCCAAAACACCAGGAAGTTATGTTCCCCATCAAAAAACAAAGCAGGCAGAAAAACTACTCTTTGAATGTGAAATGATTAGAGGCATTGAAAATTGTGACTCCAGACAAGCTCCCAAGGAAGGCATCATTGTATGTCAGCTTAGGCTAATGGGTCGACCAGATGTTTGCAGCATTAGTCATCTAGCTCTCCTTTATTCAGATTGTTGGGATGTTTGGTAGGGGCAGGGGGTAGTTCTTTTCCTTAGTTGGCATGATTCAAAGTGATCTGCAACACAATGAGGCAAAACTACTCTAGCAGGCAGCCAATTTAAACTTACTGGGTTCTGGCTGAATAGACCTATATTACTGTAAGTAAAGCAGCTGCTGTTAGGAGCCCTTAGGAGACAATGGTTTTTCAAAAACCTCAGCCACTTCAATTCTTTTCCTACAGCTACAGCTGAGTAGGACTAGTGCCCACCCCCCCATGCACACCTTCTGCCCTGATTGCACCTTGTCCCTTTCTTTTTTGTTTAGTTGATTTCATTGTATTCAGGCCACTAGACCATTCTTTTCTATTTAAAAATGCATAAATACTATGATTTTTAAAGAAAATGTTCAAATGTGATGAATCTTAGGCACTTGATGTTTTTCAGAATGTTTAGCTGTAATTTGTTTAAAGAAAAATCTACACTTCCACAATACACATGGAGATGTTGGTTTTAATGTTTAGGTTCAAGAAGTTTGATCATAGATACTTACGGAAAATTCTAATCCGGAGGAACCTGCCAAAATCAAGCATCGTTTCTTTGTATAAGAAGCTTGAGATGAAACAAGCCATTGAGATGGTAGAGACTGGGATACTGACCTCTGCAGCCTTCCCTGCACCCTATCAGTGAGTTCTACCTGCTTTTTGATCTACATCAGTGGTTCTCAACCTCCCTAATGCTTCAACCCTTTAATACAGTTCCTCACATCCTGGTGACCCCCAACTATAAAAACATTTCCTTGCTACTTCATAACTGGAATTGTGCTACTGTTAGGAATTATAATGTGAATATCTGATATGTGAGCTCCCATCCCCCAAAGAGATGGAGACCCACAGGTTGAGATCTGCTGGTCCAAACTTTCAATATCTGAATTTCAGGGTTAAGTTATGGCTTCATTTGAAAGAAGTAGCAGAAGGGACTAGGCAGAAAGATGAGTGTGGCAGTTAACATACTGAACTGTAACAAGTGTTTGAAAAGGGAGAAAAGCTTCTTTTGGCTTACAGTAGGAGGCAGATGGTTTAGTCTATGATTAGTTGGTGGTTTCAGGCCTATGGTGAGTTGGCATATTATGGTCACCATTATGGCAAAACATCCACCTCATGTAGGATACACTGGATATTCCAATGTCTTGTTTAACTGCAGATCCCCAAGAGCCTGAAGCCCTCCCACTGGACACCATCTCATTAATATTTCCCATTTCCAATAGTGCCATGATCTGGGTAACAAATAATTATAACATGGACTTTAGCTATGAGGATGGAGTCATAAAATAATATTGTCTAGTTCTTGACATTTTGTGCTTTGCTTCAAGCTTGACATGTTTCACCAGTTTGGAGGAATTACTTTTTAACGAAGTTGCCATCTTTAAGTCATATGACATCTTCCAAGTAAAGACATAGAATGGCAGGATGTTTTATAACATTTTTCTCCTTTTCCTCTTGCCTGGAAAGCTTTTTCCTTCAATCTCTGTTCACTTGGTTCTGTTCCTTCTACTGCTGTATTTTGTGCAAACTGTATTTCTCTTCCTATCTTCTATGGGGAGAGGTTTTAGACATCAGGGTGCTGACTTGGATTTGGGAGATATATCAGTCCTCCTGTGTCACTACAATTAAATATATGAACCAGGTTACTTGTAAAAGTGCAAGGAGGTTAGTTGGAGCTCATTCTAGGGGTTCAGGTCTAAGGTCAAGTCTATGGTTCTTTGATAACAACAGAGTGGGAGAGTCATGTAACCCAGCAAGGGTGCATATCCTTACTCAAGGAGAGAAAGAAAGTATTAAAATGAGTCCTCTGATCCCCTTTGAGATCACACTTCCAGTAACATAAGAAATTCTCACTAGGACACACCATTTATGGCCTACAGAGACCTCCCAAGACTGTTACCCTGAAGACCAAGCTTTTAGACATGGGGCTTTGAGAAGGACTTTGTCTAAAGTAAGGCAGGGAGGTGATGAGGTGACAGTATGGGGTGTGGTATCTTATGGCTCTTTAAAGAGGTGTTGGCAGTAGAAAGAGTCTATATGAGATTGGGAGATTTGTCTCAAATCCATGAGACCAGCTTGGATCAGGACCAGAATGTTGGCTGGCTTCTAGGTGAAAAGAAGACTATACAGATTCTATGTAGAAAGAAGGCATGGGGAGAGACCTTCTTGCTGTGTGTCTTCCACCTTCTGGTAACCAATTGGCCCCAGAGCTGGACAGGTGTTTCTAACTGGTTTTAATTGTGTAACCTCTTACAAAAGTTCTTCAGTGTTTCAAGAATTAACTCCCAAAGATGCCCAGCTTTCATCTACGCAATGGTGTATAGGTTGCACAAATTAATCACAGCATATATTTAGGGAAAGGGCACACCAGCCCCTCCATACTATCATCTTCAGAAAAGGACACTTGATCATGAGTTTCAATTATGTCCTCATGTCAGGGAAGTGAGCTGAGAACAGAGCTAAGAATAGGCACCAATAAAATTGTCACAAACTGGCTGAGTGTTACTTCACAGGTAACACCTCCCCTAACCTGCTAATGAATCAGAAACACCAGCACCTTTCTCCATGACCAGGGAAGATGTAAACAAGTGTCCCTAAAGGCACCCAGTCTAAACAGAAAGCTTTGTGCCTTATTTATTCGTGGGATTGTTTCAGTGGCTTGTTTGTTTGCTTTGTGCTGACCATTACGTAACTAAAAGGAGATGGCGCCTGGTGCTAAACTGGGAATGTACTATCAAGTATTTACTGGCAATGGTGTCCACAGCCACAGTGGAGCCAGAGGTGACTGGAAAAATCAGGAATGCTGACTCTGTTTTCATTCAATATGCTGGTATGTTATCTGTCAAAAATTCTCTTTGCGTTTCATTTCACTTTAAAATAGTGCACTCAAATCTTACTTTTGACTCTGTGCCTTAGGTGCCCCGCTTGTTAAAGCCCCTCATGTGTGTGCTAAACACTGTGAAGACAGACATAGGTGCTGCCCTTTCAGGCCCCAGACATGGGAAAGACATGCCATTAATATAAGAGATCACACAGTGCAGTATAATAAAGAACAGGAATTGATGTGACTATAGGAGAAGTGTGTCTCATGTGACCTTCCTGCTGTGTGGTCTACTCTTCAAAGGATGAATTGCAGTTAGTGCAGAAGTATAGGAGGGCTGGACAGTTCCAGACAGATCAAACCACTAGAAACTTACTCAATCCGTTTGCTTGCTACTTATATGAGCACTTGGTCTAGGAATGTGAGGGTGTTTGTCTCTTATCTCAGACTAGAATCTCATCTATGTTTCAGTCTATTGGGCTAAAACGTATTTTGAACTTCTGTATAACATCACAATGTATTAGCCATAAGCAACTGCTTCAAATCTGACCACAAGACAATCTTTAAACCAGTTTTATTTGGCACACTCCCCCGCTCACTTTGAGTCAAGCATTTCTTCAGACATTGATGCAAGATTCCTAAGAGTCTTACAGGTAAGAGATTTTTCTACATCATATAGCCCAATCAAGTAAGTTAACTGGAGTGAGAAAGATTTTGTTAAAGTTTTAATACAGTTTTAGTATTTAACTTACATTTATTTGATCTCACTAGAAATATGTAGGACACCAAGAAAAAAGGAATTCCTCTACTAAGATCAAAGTAGTCAGTTTCTAAAACAAAACAAAACAAAGCATACACCAAACCTTCATACAATAATAGGAAAAAGAACTGTGTATTCAGGCGCCTCTCAGTATTCAGTGTGAGAGAGTAACAGTCAAAGACACACATATTTTTGCTTTATGACTTTAAGTAATTGTTATAAAACAATTTAATTTCCAAATTCTTGGACTTTCAGGAGAAGGTTTGTAACATGAAATAATAAATGGCAGAGAGAGAGATTGAGGTTCAAACTTCAAGAGAAAGATCAGAAAAGCAAAGCAGCCAGTCATTAGCTCTTACCTCTGTCTCAGGTTGAAATGGGTGATCTGGCTCCAGTCTTGTCTCCACCAAGCCTCAGACTGCAATCCCAGACTGCTATGCTCCCCTCAATGTGGCTAGAGACTAATTCTCACATGGGACCCTTTGCTTCTTCCTGTTAAACCTCTCAAAGCCTGGGATTAAAGGTACGGGATCCCAAGTGCTAAGATCTCCTTTGTATGAGCTGTTTCTCAGTTTCATGTAGCCTTGAACTAACAGAGATCTGTCTACCTCTGTCTCCCTGAGTTCCAGGATTAAAAGTCTGTGCTACCACCACCTAGCTTCTATAACTAACTAGTGTGGCTGGTTTTGCATTCTGATATTTCAGGCAATCTTTATTAAATCATAAATAATGTTCCACAACAAAGGTTACTGTCAGGGCTGACTCTGCTACAGCTCAGAGGACATTATTTCTGTGAAATCCCATTGCTCTCATCATGGCAAAAATATTTCATAGAAGTACTTATTTGAATCTCCAAACCATCCTATGGGAGAGATAGAATATACATTTCAAATGTGGAGCTGTTCCTCTCACACAGGACTGGCAATCTGTTAGAGATTGTAAAAGGATACTGACTCGAAGTGTTAAGTGTAGAAATGAAGCTTACAGGTTTGTAGGATGGCTCTGGGGATGAAGGTACCCGCCGTTGAGCCTGACGACTTGAGTTTGATCCTCCAAACCCACACGGTGAAAGGAAAGAACCAACTCATAAAAGTTGTGCCCTCACCTCTAAAGTGCAATGTTGCACAAGTGCACCAACATACATAGCTCTCCACACACAGTAGGTAAACAAATGTAATGTAGTGCTGAGGATATAGCTCAGTTGCTATAGTATCTACCTGGCATGCATGAGGCCCCAAGTTTGATTCCCAGCATCCACTGGGTGTGATGATGGAGCCTGTAATCCTAGCGCTTGGGAAGTGGAAGTAGGAAGAGAATAAGTTCAAATCCAGCTTGAACAACACAGAACCTTATCTCAGGTATAGACTAATTTTAAAAGAGGTTAGTATCACCTCTTTTAAAGAGGTGTCAAAACAGCTATGACGTTATTGGATAACTAGCTGCAACTTTGCGATCTCAAATCATTTTATTTCGAAACTCTCAAGAGTTTGAGCATGTCACGTTCTTTTCCTTTTTCTTTTTAAATTATGTGTATGTGTGAGTGTCTGTATGTGGTCAGGTGTAGCTGAGCTCAGGTGCCCATGGATACTGGAGGCAACTGATCCCCTTGGAGCTGCTGTGAGTGCTGGGAACTGTACTCGGGTCTGAAAAAGTAGTCTGTTATCTTAACTGCCAAGTCCTCTCTCCAGCTCTCTTGCTTGTTTTTTTTTTTTTTTTTGGTATTTAGGTAAATTCATTGTAGTTTAAGAACTCTTTTAATCAATTTCACATTGATAAGGTTCAGTTCTCATATTTGCATTCTGACAAGAAACTGTGGGATGTAGTTTCTGATGTAAATTCCATGACTGAATGTTGTGTATCCTGTAAATCATACTTCACTTATATTAGATATGGACATTGAAGTGACCTTTGAAAAAGGTGCAAGATGGCCATGCAGACAGAGTAACTGGTGAGGAACACTTCATGTCTGGGCTATTGAAAGATGTATACTTCTCAGGGAATTAGGACACAGGAGTTTATATTTGGGTTTTCTTACTATGGTGTGAATATAGTGTTTGTTAGGTTTTGTAATTCAATTAAAGTGTCGTTACATTAGTATAGCATCTCAAGAAAGGAAGGAAGGAAGGAGAGAATTTATGAGAAATGTAAACATTGTATTCAGATGCCATTGGATTTAGATTTTCCTGGTTTAAATTAGAAAAAGAGATCCCCTTTACCTGTAACATACGAATGCTCCAGAGACAAGAACTGTGCAATTTATCCTCTGAATCGTTGGCCCTAAAGATTCCCGGTAATATTGTCTTCTAAGGTTTGTGTCTTTCTTGCACCTGTGATGTGAGTATCCCAGAGATGACTGTATTTATGGAGTAACATGAAGACAACTCCAGGCATCTCCTGGTTCAGGTTACCCAACACTTTTGTATAATTGTAGCTGCCACTTCTTGGTGTGAGTCAGGGGGAGGCACAGCTTTGAGAGTCCTGTGATACTCACTCTAGCCAGCAACCCAAAGGACTTTAATTAATCCTGGCCCTTCCTGGAGTGGTCAATTAGAAACTGGGGAGAATGCCAAGCAAGTTCTGCTGCTGTACCAAGTTTCACCTGCCATTTCCTTTATCGGTGGTTTTTTTCCTATTTGTTTTATATGAATGTATAACATAGAAATGTTTGCCTAGCTGGTGTTTCTGTTTAGTAACCCATTACACACACACACGCACATACACACACACACACACACACACACATGCACACACACCATAATGATGGAATGTGTTCAGATTGTGTGAACAGGTGTACCTAAATTAGAATAAGTTTCATTTGGAGGACATCAGTACAGTTACATTTATATAGTTTAGACCGTCAAGGGTGACATTTGCAACTTAAGACAGAGAAACTCTGATTTCAGTCATTACATAGAAAGGGAGGCTGTCATTCTCCAGGTAACAGTTGCTAACTTGTATAACCCTTGTATACTGTGATGCTCCATATAAAAGCCCTCTATTTTCTGAGTTGCACATTACATCCAAACTACCTTTATTGTTGAATGGTTGCAAGGTTTGGGGACAGTACTTTGAATGTATCCTGCATTGAATTTATTGATTTATCCCTGTGGTCCACCATCCTGACAACATGAGAAAGGAGATATTGAAGCCTTCAGTGCCTTTATTCTTCCAAGAAATGAGCAGAGACTAGTAAAGAAAAAGCTCGGTGGGCTATATAGCATGGTGTTAGGAAGGTGGTTATGTTAGGAAAGTTGAGCTTTCAGAACCTTTTTTATACCTATGTTCTAGAGTGAATGTGTATTTCCAGTGCAATAAAAAGATTTTCTCAATTACTGCTACAAGATTGTAATCAAATACATCTGTCGCATGGAACTTCTTTTCATATCAGTATCTTAGTTTTGAAATCCCAGGGGACAATTGGACATTGATTGTTAACCTGGCCCTGAGGCTAAGTTTTCAACCTTTTGGGTGCCCAGTGTCTCAGCCGAGTTGACCTCTATCTGTGGTACAAACAGTTGAATTCTGTTTACGATGTGATTCCCATGTCTAATTATTCCTTAACCAAAAATAAGGCCCTGTCCTATTTTAGTTACCATTGCTGTGATAAAAACACCCTGATTCAAAGCAACATAGGAAGAAGGTGCTGTTTTAGCTCACAGTTCTAGATTATAGACCATCAGTGTGGGGAAGTCAAAGCAGGAACCTGAAGCAACTAGTCATGCCACATCAAATCAGCAGAGAGGGAATGCTTGCACACTCAGTGCTCAGTTACTTTTGTGTACTCCTACATAGCCCGGGCTTCAAGCTGGGCAATAGTTCTTCCCCATTCAGTCCGGGTCCTCCTACGTCAGTTAAGGCAGCTAGGACAATCTTCCACAGATTTGTCTACTGGCCAACTTGATCCAGGCAATCCCTCATTAACACCCTCTTCTCAGGTGATTCTAGGTAGTTTTGAGCCAACAATTAAAACTCACCATCTCAGTCCTCTAAGAGCACAATTCCCAGAAAGCTTTCTTTACTCTTGTAACCTCAATAACCCAGCATACGGGTCAGGCTCCAAAGGCAGTGATGTGAATGGTGCTGGATTCTTGACTGTTGGTTGTCCATCCTCATGACACAGAGCACAGATCTGATGAAAACCTTGAACCTTTGAGTGATTTTATTTCTATTAAATTTAACAGTAAAATCTTGGTATTGTATTTTTAGGGCATCACTTCCAAATAATTGATTTTTTTTTGTATTTTATAAATTATTTGGTGGCCATGATCTTAAACCACCCCCCCACCTTAAAAATGGCTTACAATACAATCCCACTGCCAAAAAGTCTAGGAAATAGAACCTTCATCCAGCGATTGATGAAAGCAGAGGCAAATACCCACAGACAAGCACTGAACTGAACTAGAATCCAGTGTCAGAAAGAGAGAACTGATGGGCAAAGGAGTTAAGAGTGTGCTGGTTTAACCCACAAAAACAGTTGACCTAAACAAGGGGAGCTCTTGAACTCCAGATTGATGGCTGTGTGGAAAGCATGGGACTGACTCAGACTCCCTGAATGTTGGTGTCAGTGAGAAGGCCTAGGTAATCTATGGGGCCTTGGGTAGTACTTACCCCTGGTGTACAAATAGACTTTGAGTCCCCATGCCACAATATGAGAGGCTCTCTCAGCAGGGACTCTTGGGGGAGAGCCTAGGCCCTGCCCTGGATGAAATGACAGATACTAGAGATCCACCATGGAAGGCCTCACCCTCCTTGGTGATCGGAGTGGAGATTGGGTGGGGGCCTGGGGGACCTGGTGGAGAGGGCAGGGGAGAAAGGGAGGAAGAGGGAGCTGGGATTGACATGTGAAACAAGATTGTTTCTAACCTAAATTTTTAAAAAATGGCTTACAATAATAACCACATGGAAACTGTAAAGGAGAAAATGTTTCTAAATCTTTAAATCAAAACATTATGTTTGGACTTGAAATCGATTTGTTAAGGTGGCAGGAATGAGTATATATGCAACTATGATCCTGGAATTTAGGGATTCCTCCAGGGCAGCACAGAGCAAAGCCCATTGTGTCTTTGTGGCACTTCTTGCCCAAATGGAAAAATAATGACTTCTCTCTAATTGTGTTTCCAGGCCTGAGAGGATACAGGGAACCAAGCGGCTTTCCCCCGAAGACGTGGAATCCATGCGGGACATTCTGACAAGAAACATGTACCAAGTTCGACAAAGAGTATGTGCGAGCCCTCTGTGCTGCCCCCTGCCCTACTCTGTCTTGCTCTGCTCCTACCAGCTCTTCAGGAGCCTGTTCACAGCGTCCTCTCAAGTGGCTGCTCTGCAGGGTTTGGAAAATAGAAAGCTAGCTGACAGCTGCCAGGTTGTCACCAGTGGTTTAAGAATAAATGCAAACCCAGTTGCTGACTCTAGGGGTCAGGATACCCCAGGCCTGCAGCCTGTGTTTTTAGAGCCCACAGATCTCCCTGTCCTCAAAGGGAAGACAGACACAGTCATCCTCCTGTAGTGTAAGCAAAACATGGCACCAGAATTCAGATGGCCCTGGCTGTCCAATGGGGTCGACTATGAGAAAAGTCAACAAACACTTATTGGGATAGAATCATGAAGCTACAGTGCTGAAATCTAGAATAAAAAGAAATACTGGCGTTTTGGTGTTTTGGCCTGGAAATTGATCTGGATTCTTTCTTCATTAGTGTTTAGCAAAGGGACCCTCAGGGTCTTTGAGGTAATGATAGTTAAATCAATGTCATCCCTGCTAAAGCTTTTTCTAGTTTGATGAATTATTTCTCTGTACTATTTCTTGGCTATGATTAAGTATGCTTCTTGTGAGAATTTTTGTTTTTGGGTAATGCTATAGGTCTTGCTTTCGATGGGATTAAGAAACCATCTAATCAGAGCTATTCGTTTTCTAGTCGATGTTGGGGTTAGCAGACTTGATGATCAGATTTATTCAAGGTTATAAAGTAAATGTAGGTTAAGAGTTTTCTGCTGCACACCTATCCAGAATTCTTTCTAAGACTCCAGACTTACACGGCCAGTGAAGGTCAGCACTCTCTGTAGTCCTGGGTCAGAAAGGTTGATGATTAAGGAACTTGTGTCAGAGAAAGCAAAGGCTGAAGGAATATAGCTCAGCTCTGTGATGGTGTTCTTAGGGTAAATTTCATGACTTTCAAATCATTCCAAGTGAAACTGTTCTAGCAAGACTATCACATTTCACCTTCACTGGGTAGATAAGAACTTCCTGGTGGGAAGAATGGTTAGCTTAGGGAGAGCCAGACCCACAGAGTACCTGGTACTCAATGTTTCTCTCGTCGTGGTGATACAAGGAAAGAGGTTGGAGTCTTGAAACCCCAATACATTCTGAAATGACTCCTTGTCCACATTTCCCATCCTCTTTTATTCCCCAGATGTAGACACCAAGATAGGCACTTTCTTCTTTCATCTGGTCTTCTCTTCCAAACTATGCAGCATCTCTCTTCCTTGTTTTGTTTTATTTCTGAATTTGAGCATGTTGGCCACTTTTCATTATAGGATTGATTGCTAAGCATCAAGTGGAATCAAATCAGAATAGGATTAGTGAACTGAGGGCAGTGATAGGCTGCAGGTACATTTTTGCTTCCACTTTTAGTCCATTGAAAACATCACTCACCAGTTCCCATTCCTGATTATTCTAGTTTGATAAACACAGTGACCAAAAGCACTTTGGAAGGAAAGGGTTAATTTGGCTTACACTTCTCAATCACAGTCCATCATTGAGGGATATTAGGGAAATAACTAAACTAGAAACAGAGGCAGGAACCATGGAGGAGTGCTGCTTCCTGGCTCACTCCCCTGGCTTCCACAGCTTACTTTCTTATACCACCAGGACCACCTGCTCAGGGATGACATGGCCCACAGTAGGATGGGCTCCTTCCACATCAGTCATTAATTAAGAAAATGTCCACAAATACTTGATCACAGGCAACATGATAAATGCAACCCCTTATCTAAGATTTCCTCTTTCCAGACATCTCCAATTTATGTCAAGTTAACAAAACAAACAACAACAAAAAATCAACACCTCTTTTTCCACCACTTCTAGCATTTGTAGGGTTAAGAAAGTCTTCCTTTATTCATCTCTCCTGGAAATGCTATCCTGAACAATTGAATATCCACTGCTTATAGTGGACAGTCTACAGTTTGAAGGATGGACACAGAGGTTGTGCAGAAGTCACCTGTTGTCCTTAAGTCTGGACAAGAGGTACAGGACTGACTGATGGCTGGAGGCATTTATCACTGTGTGTTTTAGAAGAGTCTGTCTTGGGACTTTGCAGTCACTTTGGGTCAGGACCAGGCAGAGTATGGGGCCAGACTCTGGGTGATCCTAAGTTACAGTTGATGTGAAACTGAGCTGGTCCTACTGGGACCACATCTTTTTGAAGCACTTCCTCTTAGTGTGTCTAAGTCTATATGGGATGGGAGGTGAAGGACTCACTTCTGGAGGTTTCCACTGGAAGAACCACAGAGGAAACTCTCTGCAGTACAGTGGGATGGAGTAAGAGAGGCACACCCAAAACTTATCAAAGAATAAACCTCAGCCCAGGCTCTCTATTAATCTCAAAGTTTCTATGTGCTTTCAAAGGAAGAGAGAAATGTATTCTAATTCTGTTCTGTACCTCTAATAGTTTATGTGCACAAGCATGTGCAAGACCTAGGAACAACGAGAAGCCTCCTTTCTCCAGCAGAACTCAAGGTTTTGTAAGGATGTACAGGCTTTATCCGGGTCCTGATTCCTTCTAAAAAGGACAGAAAAGGAAGGAAAAGAGAGAAGACACTAGCATAGCACACTGAATGTATAGAAACTCCTATGCTCTCTGCAGAAGACCAAATTGACATGGACAATGGTTTATCATGCAAACTAGAAGACTGATGTCCAAATGATGTTTAAAGTAAAGCCTCCTAAGCTGTGGTGTAGGAATATGTAAACATATTAATGTACTTAGCTTATATTCATCTTTATAGAAGATGGACAAGAATCTTACATCAAACTATATTCACGGTTCTGCTCACCCCCAAAATACCGGAGCAATGGGCTTGTCCAAAGCAGAGGATAAATAACTGCTAGGTGGAGCAGGGTCAGTGTGTTTCCTCATTCTTCTTTGGCCTGAAGAGCCCCTTCTTGGTAACGCTCTGTCTTAGGAAGGTTGATTTCATTAATACACAGTGAAAACCACATATCTGCAACCTGGTTGCATACATATTCAGTAGAACACAGCAACCTGAAATCCAATGGAACACACCAAGTCAGAGCTCTCTTTTAGGAATACCCTCCCCATCAGGCAGAAAACTGACCCTCTCACCCCTGGGCTGGGTGAGGGCTCGTTAGGAGCCCACATATTACGTGCTGTAAAAGCTGATTCCGTGAGCATTGTTCGGTAAGAAACAATAGAATGGAAATATGTATTGCCCATTTTCACCTCTTATTCCTAGGAATCATCTCATGGCACCTGAGAGTATGTTTCCCCCAACAGACACTTGGCTAGAAGATTGTGTTTTTCACTCCTGGAAAGTGTGTGTGGCCTGTGTGACCTGTCATCATCTCTCTCTGCTTATGCTCACTGTCTTTGGAAGCTATGTTTCACTCCAATAGCAAACTCTTGGGTGGATCTTTTCCTGTGGTCCTCCCTACCCTCCCTTCAAGTTGGTTAGTAGTTTCTGCTTTAGTTCCCTCCCATCTGCACTTCTCCTGGAAGAGTACCTGCTTGATGCTGCAGGTTCACCTCAGTGCAGCAAGTATGCTCCATCCAAGCCCAAGTAAGTGCCCTACTCTATACCTCCCAGATGATCCTACCATAAAGCCTTTGTTACCTTGACTCCCCCAGGTGGCTGCAGGCTTTTAAAAGACTTGAATGTACATCATTTATTTTCAATCCCATGCTTGCTACAACACCTAGTAGAACATCCACGTTTTTGTTATTGAATTTGACTGTCCTTTTTAAAGAAGCCATAAACCAGTAAGAATGACACAGGCAGCAGTGACCTTCTTATCCAACATTATCCAACATCGCTTTGCAGTTTATCAGCACGCGCGGTGCGTCACCTATGGACTCCAGGCAATCTGACATTCGCTGAGCTTCGAGTGAGCAAGAGTAGGGACAAGAAGCTCCACATTAGCATTTTTCAAACATATATTTATGGAGAGATGATGGCCTGTGGTCCATGTCAGAGTTCCACAGGTTTGAGGCCAAGGCAAGAAGGAGGAGTAATTTTACGGCTCAGTTGGTCCAGTTTGTCAAGCTGTTCCATCCTGGATCTGTTCTTTAACCCGCTGCTGTTCTCATTGTAGAGCCTCTTCCTTTCTGAATAGATGAGAAATCAATTTAACTCTCTGTCTCTCTCTCTCACCCCCCTCGTGTGTGTGTGTGTGTGTGTGTGTGTGTGTGTGTGTGTGTGTGTCTGTGTGCGTGCATGTGCATGTGCAGGGCAGCCACAGTGTGTGGGTGACTCCTATGGGAGTGGAGGTGGTGGTCGGGCTTCTGTGGGGATTACTGAAGGCACTGTCCACAGTCACAGCCATACTTCCTCCCACGAAGGCTTTCTCAGTCATGCTAGAGGCAAGGCTGCACACAGGCACTGTGTCTACCCACTCTAGCAATCTCCGATGCTGCTGGAGCTCCAGGTAGTGTTGGAGTTCTTACCTGCCTGCTATATGCTCTACCTACAGACCCTGTCCTACAACAAGTACAGTCTCAAGCCCCAAACAAGTGAGAAGCAGGCCAAGGAGATTCTAATCCGCCGCCAGAACACCTTGAGGGAGAGCATGCGGAAAGGCCAGAGTCTGCCTTGGGGAAAACCGGTATGTGGGGGCTGTCACCTAATAACTGGGACCGTACTTGGGGCAGTGCCTCATTAGCTGAGGGTAAATAACTATTAACACTTACTGAATACTCAAACCTCAATGCTGCCAGAGAGATGGAAAAGCCAGAGGGGGCAATAGATCCAAGGAGCCCCAGTCTCTCTGGATCCAGGGCTCTGGGGCCTCCAGCTTCTGTGAATGAAGTATGGTACTGAGATGCTTTCCAAGGTAGATCAGTGACATCAAGTGGTCCCCAACATGAGTCTATGTCCAGAACCCGTGGTGCCCAAGCACTAAATATCTCAGGACTCCTCCTCAGACCAAAGCTTCTAGGCCTCTCAGGACATTGACTAGAAGGATTTTGCCTGGTCTCCTAAGCCTCCTCCTCACATCCTTACATCACCAGTGAGCCCCTGACATCTTACTACTTGAGGCTGTATGGTCCTCATCATATAGAGACTCCTTCCCGAACCCTGGATCTAGAAGAAACCCCACTCTAATACTGAGTGACGCTATGAGAGTAACTTTGTAAGGTTCACAATGGTTCTTTCAATGAGAGGAGGGTGGAGTAACTACATATTGAGGTTAGAAATGTTTCACTTCCTTAAATCAAAAGTAATGAAATGTAGTGCCCAGCACAGGGCTGCATCCTTCCCTTTATTGCCTGTGTGCCCATTGAAACCGTAGTAGCTCATTCTGTTTCTGTTTCTTCTTGTTACCCACAGACAGGCACCAAGAACTTTCGCTATCTATCCTTCCCCTACAGCAATCCTCAGTCAGCAAGAAGAGAAGCAAGGGCTGCTGAACTCACAGGTAACCTACTGTTGGCTGCTGTGTTTCCTCCTGTGCAGGGTCAGATGGTGGACATTTGGGGACTCAAGGGCTAAGAGATACAATCACCACCATTAGGTAGAAATGTGAATGAGGAGGAAATGATTGCGTCCTTCCTGAGTAAATTTCAGAATTTTATTTATGGGCACAGATATTCAGATTTATCATAATTTTTCATGCACTGCTGTGCTATTTTAATTTTTCCAGCCATCTGGAGTGTAGCAATGATTAGAGGGTCACAGAATCTCTTCACTGGTGTCTTAAAGATGTGTAAGGACCACTTCAGGGCAGTTGTAAGAGTCCAGTGAAATTTAATATTAGATTAACTTTTATTGGAGAGATTAAGTCATATTTACTGATTAACAGCTTCCCTCTAACACATAACTGAGATTCCTAGGTATTGAAAATACTCATTGTTCTAATAAAAGCCAATTTGTTGTGTTTTAAATATGTATCAAAATGATGTCTGTTAGAAAAGGGTAATATATAATATAATCACATGCATGTTACCTCCTTGATTTTACATTTATTTAAACCTTAAAAATCACTTTGGGTATTCAAACAAACTAAAGGCATGGGATCTTTTAAAATTTTTTTAAAGGTACGGTATCTAAAAATAATTATTTGCTAAGGGCAATATAGTAATTCTTTGAAATAAAGGGCTTTTGTTATGTTTGTCTTGTTTAAAATGACTTCATATCAAACCCAACTCCATCACTGGAAAACACAACAAATTGTTAAACAAACTTTTAAAGACTTGGATGTAGTCACTACAGAACATTTTAGTTAGCACCCTTCTGTAGATATCTCTGTGTAATCCTGGTCTTCACAGAGCTATCATGGAAGCCCAGCACCATCCTACCATCCTATACAAAAAACTCAAACACCAGTGATTGTTTTGTTTCCCCCACCCCAAATTTCCTAGTTCATTTGACAGTGTCCTAGGGAGGACAGATTTCTCATCTCAACAAATAGGATTGTAGTTCCCATTTTTAATGATAAAATACTAATCAGTCATATAGAGAAAATCACAGTTTACTTACATTTCAACTCACCTTGAACCTTTTCTTTGTATATGGAATAAGTTTGGTATACCTTTCAGATTGCTTGCTATGACTATGTTCCTTGCAACAACATCTTCCCCTGTAAAACGAAATGCCACCTTTGTAGTAAATTATTTTCTTCCGAAGAGGGTTTTGAACTAGTAATTTTTTTCATTACTCTTGGCAGCTTCTGTTGACACTCTGGTAATTAGTGTCATTTGATATTTCATTTGATATTATGAAGACATTTCACAAATAAAAGTAAAGAAAACTGAAAAGAGACATGCAAACATTGGACATGCAACAAATTGGTTTTGAAGTATCTTTCTTATTCAAATAACTCAAGACAAATCTTGTCATTTAAGTGAATAGAAAACAAGAAAGTGCTGCAGATATATTCTGGGATGATCTTAGTACTGCAGGATTCTGACACAGGGGTGACAGCAGAGAAGGTTCTTGAGGCACTGATGCACAAATGTAAATAAACATTACAACAAACAGTCAATAGTCACTCTAAATACTAAACATTGCAAAGTGAGTTTTATTCCAGAAGGTAGGAGTTGTTAGCACTTGGAAATCTAAAGGATAAGAACTCTCCAAATTGTCAACTTTTCATGAACTAATCCATAGTTGGAGTAAGATCTTAATCTTTGGGGGTTTGGTTTGTTTACTTTTTCTTTCTTTCTAATGTGTCAAGTTGGTTCTAAATTCCACCCAGATGAAAGTGGTTGAACTAGAGAAGAAGGTAATGAAACTTAAGTTACCAGTGACCCTTAGCAAGTTTTAAAAGATTATGGTAAATGTCAGAAGCTACACTCATGAAGTCTTACTCATGACTTCTCCCCAGTATAACTGCCTAGCCATGGCATGAACAAAAATGACACTGATAGACATTCTATGGAAGAGCACACCAATTAACTATCCAATACCAAATGGTCAGTCCTAAAAACATATTCATACAGGCAAGATTAAGCAAACTGAGCAAGTTGTATTTATATATTTAGCAATATGTATGTAAGAACAATTAACAAAAAAGAGCCTCCCTCTTCCCTGCCAAAAAGAAAGACTATGAGAACAATCACAATGGAACAGAGAGAGTCCTTGATGTGTAATCAACAGTTTGACTACTTGAATTCTCGCTGAATACCAAGAGAAGAGGGATACTCTAGCTAGGAGACACTGGATGGCATAGTTTCCTCAACCACATAGTCTGGCCAACCAATGTGAGTCTTTGAAAACACGTTCCTTCCTGGTTCTATGACTCTGCAGGCCCACAGAGGTTTGCACATCCCCGATAGGATGTCTGTGAATTCCATGATGTTTTAGAAACATGCATACTCTTTCAAGGCTCCTATACCTTTGAGGTTCATGTTTTATTATAACTATGGTGATACCCACCCTGAAATCCCTTTATGTATGAAGCAGCTTTAAATCTATGGAATTAGAGATTGATGGTGGTGGGGATTACACAGAAGTAGGAAACCTCTTAGTGCTATTGAACTAAACTTGGAAATGGTTGAAATGTTTTAAGTGTTGTTTTAGTATATATTAACTATACATATTTTAAAAGTACACACACACATATACACCCTTGAAAATATAGAGATAAGGAAGTATTGCTCTCTAGTTCTGAGTCACTAGATAATACACAATTGTATCAACTAGCTAATCTCCTGTGGGTTTGGCCCCACCAAGCAGAAGCCCTGTTTCTCCTTTAGCCTTGGTAGTTAAGTCTGGTTCTTGAGAGGCAGCCACTGTTCTTCCCTGGGATGACAGAACTGGCTGCACACCTTCAGCTAGACATGTGAATGAGGACCAATTATAGTCCCCATCCTTTCTTCTCCACCTTCTACATTACAGAAAGTTCCTTCATATTTTGGGAAGAACTAGTCACTTACATTGACCTCAGCTTTGCAAGTGGAGCCTCTTCTAGATGCTTGGGCTCCACTTTACATTAACTTAGAAGGTGGTAGAGAGACTGGCTATCCTCTGTCTACTCACAAGGAGTTCATAGTCAGAAGGAGTGGGTAGAATGAGATGGGACAGGATTTGCAAACAGAAGGAAGTGTCCATACCTCAGAGAGTCTCCCAAATAGCAAAGAATCTAGAAGAATGGAGGTTCAGGCTCCACTTGGCACAAATTGAAAGGGAATTATGAAAGAAAATGAGTAAATAAATTGTGCTGTCATCTTCACTTCCAACAGAGCATCCCCTGTGTTAGTCCCCGATATACCTGCCTATGATGATTTGGTTGCATTTTGGAAAAAAATTTCTGAACAGGGTATTTAAAATTTTCTGTGTCTAGCAATATATGCACATTTTTGTTGAATACAAACTTTTGGGCATACAGTATTAATTTTGTGTGGGTTTTTTTGGATTATAGTTTTTCCCCTGTTTTATTTACATTAGAAACAAGCTTGTTTCACATGTCAATCCCAGCTCCCTCTCCCTCCCCTCCTCCTTTGCCCTCCCCATCAGGTCCCCCAGGCCCCCACCCAATCTTCATTCCAATCCCCAGGGAGGGTGATTGTTTTCTTTTTTTTCTTTTTTTTTTTTTAGGGAGGATAGGATGTGGAAGAAAGAACCATTTTCAAGTTTATAAATAAATACCCGAAAACACTGAAATTCTGAGGAGAATATGTAAGGGAAAAATAAATTCATGAGTCTAAAACCTGGAGGGCACATTAAATGACACTTGTAAAAAATGCTCCTTCGTTAAAGTGGAGGGAAAGGCACTGTGTTTTAGGAAAAGATAGAAAATTTGAAATTAACTCAAAAACAGGGCATCACAAGGATACCTGGTGGACCTGTCCCACATAACATAGCCTTAGCAAAATTCATGTGGTATGCACAGATGTCTTCTTCATGTAAGATTTTTCTCTCACCCGTACTTCCCCAAAATACAATATAGCAACTATTTGTGTAGCATTTACAATATATTGGGTATTTTAGTAGTTTAGAGATTATTTAAATTAGACTGTAGGATGTTCATAGGCTATATGCAAATACTATGCCATTTTATATGAGAGACTGGAGCATGTGTGAATTTCGATACATCTCCTGCGGATACAGAGGAATGTATCCTATTTTTGCCAGCTATACTATATTAAAAGTCACCTCGTCTTGAACAACTCTAGGCACATTCCGTATGATATGAGGACAATAGTTTTATGCATGTCACTGGGCCATTAAGATGATTAAGTGGCATAAAATATGCAAAATGAGCAAGACAGAGGCTGGCACATATTCATTCCCCCATGAGGGCAGGCTCTCAGCCTTGCTACATCATCATGTACTACTGCAGTCTGCTTGTTATCTACTGTATTGACAGAGGAGCATCTGTCACAGCCTGGGACCTTTTGTGGCTCTCTGCCCCTCCCATCTCTGTTTCTCCAGGTTTACACATTCAAGGTCAAAGCAGTGAAACTCAGACATAAAGCTTTTGGAAAGCCACCAGTGAAGTAGCAAACCAAGAGCCAGGCATGGGGCTCACACCTGCAATCTCAACACTTTGAACACTAGTGCAAGAGGATTACTGCAAGTCCAAGGCCATCCTATGTGACAGGACAGGACATTGTCTCAACAAAACAGAAACAAACAGGATGAAAAACCAACCACTTTCATGAAACCTTTAGTATAGCATTTCCCTTTTAGAAGACATAACGTTTTAAAAGTATATGTTTTATGTTATTATCAATCAATCACTATGAAAAGATACTCTGTTACTCATCTAGGGGAGATTGGCTAGACACATAGCATCCCCATGTATTTATGACAGCAAGCATGTAGCACTGCCCTCCCAGTCTTCTTGGGTTGTGATGCTGAAAGGGAAAGTCACCCTGACTGTTAAGCTGTGAGCAGGAGCTTCGGTGCTGAGCATTCTTGCCACCTGGGCATGAAGTCTTAACTCTGATTTCAAGTTTTCTTTTCATTCTTGTCACCATGTCTCCTTAGATGATGATGGTATCGATCCAGGATTCCAGCCCTTGATGTTCAGTGCACACTCAAGAGCAGGGTCCCTTCAGGAAAGACGGCAGACCCAGGCTATGATTCCGATGAAGAGCTTACACAGAGGAGAGAAGGCGCTCAGCTTCAGCTACAGAAGTGACACCAGCTGGGGGGAGCATGCTGGATGGGGCAGGAGGGATGCCATCCGGCCCAAGCCTCTGTTCTATGCAGTCGATGAGGAGTATGAATCTGGAGAGCAGACAGAGGAGGAGATAACAGCAACCAGGTCCCGATGGAGAACTGAGCACAGACGTAGCAGAGAGCACTACAAATCCCACAGTCCTTTGCTCCATATAAAATAGTTCACTGTCCTAAGTATGCTGGGTCATTCCAGAGCCCCTCTTCTTTTACTGCAGAACAAAAATGCTCACAGTTGAGATCAGAGCTATTGAGTTTGCATTTTTGAAGCGTTTGGACACCTGTCTATAAAAACAAGATGACTTCTCACAGCAAACTTGAAGGCAGAGTCACAAACTTGCCTTGTGCCGTTGTGTGCAACAAAACTTAACTCCTTCTCAGAATAGCCAACCATATCTAAGGATCACAGAAATCTACCAAGCTCTACTGGTTTTCTTCCAGATGTCAAGGGGAGTGGGTGCCAGAATTTGGCAATATGTAGTTATGGAAGCCATTAGGGAACCTCATTGCTGAAAAAGAACCAAAGAACAAAGAATTAATCATTTAGAATTTAGATCTATGTCATATGTTAAGAACTATGCGTGATTGCTCAGAAATTCCTACTGACTGTATGCTTGTGCTACTTATAATCAATTAGAACTGGCAGAGATCTTTGAAATCACCTGGTTTAGTTTCTTATGTTTTCAGATTGGGACACTGACAAAGGTCCCATGACAAGTTGGCTACCTTGCAAATTGAATGCATTTGGCTTTGATTTTTTTGTAATGAACTCTTTTATTTTCACAGATAAAATAATATACCTCAACTGAGAGGTAAAATTTGTTGCAGCATTGTTATATTTAATCAGTAATATCGATAGATGTGATCTGCACTATAGGGGTTAATCTTTGAACAATGGATTTATACACTATTTTTATAATTAGAATGCTAATTTAAAAATACTTTTTAGGAATATATAAGAGCCACAGTTAATTATCCATGACATGAATAATAGTATCTAGATGCTGTGAATTCATAATTTCTGATGTTTGCCCTGGAGTTTCATAACTGTTCTTCAGTGGAATTTTTCATGGTGATTATTCCAAGCCTGTCCTTGAACTTCGTACTTCATCTTGCCAATTTTACCAACTACTTTATCTATTCTCCTTCTTTCCTTTCTCTTCTGCTAGGCATCTATAAGTGAGCAAGCATTTCTGAAATGTTACTTAGAGCTAAATCTATGACAATCAATTCAATAAATATCCACTTGCCTTTACTGCTTGAATCATCATCATCATGCCCATCTGATCGAAACAAATACGTCTTTAAAGACCACTGGGAAATGTTCCCTGTTGCTAAGAATTTTTTGACTCTCTCTTAAGCTCTAGGCACCCCTGTGTTTCTTTGGGTAGGCCAGGAAACTTGCCTGTGAATTACATGTACACATGTACATAATGTGTTTAGTCTTGTGACTCAAAGGACAAGGGAGGATAGTTTGATCATTTTACCTTTTGTCCGTCTATCGGTTGTGACTTTTACCTCAATGTTTTCCTAAATCATACAATATCTTCCTTCTAATAAAAAACCCTGCACTGTCAAGTGAACGTAATGAGCTCGGAGGGAGGAAGCATGCATGAAATCCAGGGAAGCGGTGATGGAAGGAAGAAAGACGTTTATGCTTCACAGAGAGGCTGTGAGTCAGTCTTCAATCAGCAGCTGGAGGTAAAGAGACAGAGAGGGACCACCAGAACTGCACAGGTGCAAAGCTATGTGTGCAACCTAGTCCTCAGAGGCAGGAGATGCCACCCTCCTTCCTGGACTCCATCTATATAGCAACAGAAATCCAAGCAGCAAGGACTCCTTCCCAGAAGAGGTAATCATATGGAAGGATTACAGGAATCCACCCAGATTTCCTGGTTTTCTCCTGGACGTCGATGCCATTTAGAAGAGAGGGGAGCTGGGATTCAGAGAGACGTAATGGCAGAAGTTGTTAAGAAAACTTATTGGTGAGTAAAGAACCACATTCTGCAGGCAGAGTGCAACCATAAAGCAAAGAAGAGGCTGAGCGTCCAGGCTAATTGATAGGGAAACATTTCCTCAGGGACACTTAGCTATGAAATAACGTTGAAGACAATGCTCACAGCTATAGTGCATGCCTGTCCAACCTTCGCTTTGTAGAGTTTTCCCTCTTATCTACAGGGGTCATATCTGGGACCCTGAGTATATGCCTGCACCTGCAGATAATTCCCAAATCTATAAATACTAGGAGTTTTTGCTACATAAACATAGCTATAATAAAGTAGGCACAGTAAAGGAGATCCAGTGAGAGATTAACTATAACAGCAAATAGAACAAGTGTGATAATGTGTTATTAACAGCTATTTAAAAGACGAGAATCACTCATTTCTGGAAATTTCCATTTAGTACTTTGGGATGGCAGTTGATCATGAGTGATTAAAATTCTGGAAGGTGGAATTAGGGACATAGAACCCCACTCTAAAGTGAATAACAAAGATAAGTGAGAAACAGAAAAACTAAACTGTCCTGCTGGTCTACTAATCTGCCTGCTTTCTTTACTCCTTTACTGCCCACTGGGCTCTCGGAATGCTAGTGAACACCCCTACAGGAAGGATGTTTTGAGTGGCTGTAGTCACCTTGATCATCTGGCCACTGAGTTCTGTAGGCCAACAGTCACACAAGCAGATTTTATTTTAGAAGGTGTTGTCTTCCTGAGGCCATTGAATATCTACATTTGGTTAGCTTTGGCTATTGGAGACTGGAGGTGGGCCTAGAGCTCCTGACTACATAGTGACTCGTCAAGAGCCCTGGGATACTGCTGAGGCCAGTGACTCTATCAGTCTGGGAAGCTCACTGTGAAATGGGCTGTTTGGACATCCAGTAGGGTTTCCATGAGTGGTGTAGCATTATTTCCCATGCTTTCTTTAATGGAAGTTCATGGTAGGAATGGGTTAAGGGTTAGCAAGTGTCTGAGAATGCTCTAGGTGGTGGCTTTCACTTAGTGAGTTTCTCCAGCAAGCTGTACAGCACAGGGAGTTTCCTCCTGGATGTGGGGGACGCCTTGGCCTTTGCGTCCTATTCACTGGGAGGGAGTGACAAGACATGATTCCTATATAGGGTCCAGCTTCTCAACCACAAACTGTCAATATTTTCCACCAGTAGCCTCAAAGAACTTAACATTTTATTTTCATTTTCAATCTATAAAAGGAAATAGAAAAGTAAATAGAAAAACAAAGCAAACACTTAATTTCCTCCTATGAATATTTGCTTTTAACTCTCTGAAAACTATAATGTTAACATGAAGAATACTGGGTATCAGTGGATTCTAAGATTGAGTGAAAGGTCATTTCCTTTAATTTGTCCTTTAGTTACCAGTTTTCACTTGAAAGATTTTTCTCTACATTTAGTAACTGTTCTTTGTTCTTCTGGTGTGGCATGAGGTCACAGTCCCCTGTGCTGTCTTTGTCTGCAAAAAGAGAGGCATTGGCCATGGGAAGGATTCTGTGCCAACAAAGTGGAGGAGGAGGTTGCAGACATTGTATCATCTTCCCATCCTTATTTCCTGTCAGCCCTTGAGGCTGTATTCTTCTGCACTTTCCTTCTTAGACAACACTTATGCATTTTAAGAGGTAGGGCTGGGGATGCCACCTAACCCCGTGATGAGATTGCCATTCCTTCCTGAGGGATGCTTGCTCACATAGGCATGCAGACAGGACTAGAGTCTTCAACAAGGAATGAGTCCTAAGCTGGAATTTGCCAATTGATTAAAGGGTGGTCTTCTAGAGTGATCTTGGGTTAAATGGAATGACACCTGTAACAATTTCCAGATTGTTATCTGTCTTTGTAATAATAAATCTATTAATTTGTCGATTATTATTTAGGCTAAAGTACATGGACTTGTATCAGAAGACACCTATGTAGTGACCCAAAATGGTATAAACAAAACTTGAGATTTGCTTAGATGTGTTGCTGGTGGAATGGTGGGTATTTGGCTGTCACTGGAGAGAGGTGCATGACAGCAATAGAGAACAATTAAAACCCATGTCACCACTGTGCTTGGCATGTGTCATTCAAAGCCAAACCAGAGACAGCCTGGGAGTGTAGTCACAATGTGCAGTCAAAGCAAAATTGCCACTGCTTAGTTTTAGCCAAATTTGGGACAGTTGTCCTGGAATATAACTTTAATCTTCCTTTGTCTTCAAGTTTATCAGTCCCCATTCCAGCCTGTTGTACTGGATAGTCAGTGAACACCAAAATATTACTGTCTATCTTACAAACATTGAGGGAAAAGATAAATGTTTCAGCCTGCCCAGAACAAAAGTACTTCTAGTATAGTCCATGATGCCCAAATCAGGTCAAGTAAAATCTAAAAATGCAAAAGCCAGTGATTATGTTAATGTTACTAAAGGGGTTTTGTGAATATATTTTAGCCACAGATAAAAATAGGTATTTTTTGCATATTTTCTTTTTTTTCTGTGAAAACTCTGTCAACCATCTTATTTCTAATCCCCCAAGAAAACCAAGCAGTAGCAAGAGAAAGCTGATTTTTTTTCAGAGGGTCACTAGCCAGGAGGAATTAAGCCCACAAAGTGCTAGTCACTCCCATGATTCCCTTTCATCTGTGAATAACTGGTTTAACAAATTCATTTTCTTCCAAGGACTCATGCGTTTCCAAGCCAGGGGAGCTCACATTACTGTGACAGGTCAGGGATAAAAATTTCCATTGCCCCAGGCTTCCCCTAGCTGGGGTTCCTTCTAGACCAAGGCAGCCCCCACTGTGAGCTTCAAGACAGAGACATGGATAGTGTCACATATCCTTCCCCATCAGTCTGCTGGCTGCTAACCTGCTCCCTGAAGCTAACAGAAAGGTGATCTCCAGCAAAGTAAAGAGAAGGAAGAACATGGACTCCTTGCAATCTGGTTTTCAGTTTCTGTGGTTTTATTCTCACTGAATTTTATGTTGAGCTCAGAACCAATTAGGAATATTTAAAATAGAGGCTGCCCTGGTAGCATGCTCTCCACCAGCTTAAAGGAAGGAAGGCCTGCAGTGCTCCATTTATTTTTACTTCCTTGCAGGAGTTTTTCTGAGTAAACCGGGAACAGGCGAGACCAACCCCCGGGTTTCACCGGTGTTCTGTTTCAGGCTGAAGCAGCCCTTGTTTTGAGTTTGTGCCTTCCATTGGACAGCGTTCAGGAGTCAGCTGTGTTATCTAACTGTGTCATCTCTAAAGGGGTTGTATGCACAGGGAGGGGAGGGAACATATCAGCAGAGTCCTTAACCCACAGTTAAACCACCATTCTGAAAGAGGGATACAGGGTTAACTATTAGAGAATATTCTTAGGCAAAGGGGGCAAACCGGGCTGATCCCAGGGTACGCCTATGCACCGTACAAAGAGCCACAGAGTCAGTGGGTGTAGACCAGCAGGGCTGAGAGCCTGAGGTTTAATAAGCACACCATACACCACCACGCCCCCAGAGTTGAAGTTCAAGTCTGAGTGTAGACAATGCAGCTAGTATTACTGTAGTTTCTCTCCATGGCATGTGGCAATTCAGGTAGGGCTCGGGCATACACATTTCAACACTGTTTTCCCAAAGGAAATTGAAAACTTAAGAAGAAACTGTCTATGGTGACTGCAGGTAATTAAATTCTCCCAGGGAGAAGGGACAGACAATAAGATATTGACTGCTGCCTAGCAGTGGTTAGTTTCATGATGACTTAGGGAGAAGCGGGGAGGAGTCAAGAGAGAAAGGGTACTATTGTGCTACTGTCACAACATTAGGGTGGTAGGCACAGAGAACGCTCAGAATGGGAAGGTGGCTTTACGACTGAGAAGTTACCAGCGAGTCTTAGAGTACAGCTTGGTGTTCTGGTTTAGCACCACAGGGTGGGTTCTGCAGGCTTCTGAATTCTCTCCAGGATTATAGGGAAGGGAGTTTATCCTGCTGCAGTAACATCCTACCATGAGCCACCATGATGCTAGAGATGCTATAGTTCCTTCCTCCAAGAATCTAGAAGCAGAGGATGTGAGTTCAGGCACTGGCTCCCTCACTCTGTCCGTGATATCGACAGATCCTATTAACTACTCAAGTCAGTCCCATACCCCACTTAATTGGGCTGTTGACATCTCTCTACTCAACTGACCTCTTCAAGGGGATCTGTGATTCCAGTGAGATGCAGCGTTTATTTAACTCTAAGTATAGAGTCTTTGTGTGTTTATGAAAGAGTTGAGGAAACACAAGGGTCAATGAGATGAAGAATGGGAGTAAAGTATGTCTGAACATGAATTCTGCTATGTGGTTGTAAAGCCTCACATAGGCAAACACAGAGCGTGACAGGTGTGTAGTAAATGTCTTAGTCAGGGTTTCCACTGTGTGATGAAACACCATGGCCAACTTGGAGTGGTAAGGGTTTATTTTGTTTACACGTCCACATCACAGACCATCATCACAGGAAGTCAGGGCAAGACATCAAACTGGGCAGGAACCTGGAGGCGGGCGCTGATGCAGAGGCTGCTTACTGCCTTGCTTTCATGGTTTGCTTAGTCAGCTTTCTTATAGAACCCAAGACCACAAGACCATGATTGGTCTTCTAAAATCAATCATCAATCAAGAAAATGGATAACAGGCTTTTCTATAGGTCAATCTAGTGGGGTCTTTTTCTCTAAGGCTCCCTCTTCCAAAGTGATACTAGCTTGTGATAAGTTGACATTAAATTAGTCAGTGTGGTAAAGAAAAAAAGGTGTTCAATGTGACTTGCTGAAGCAAGACAAAGACTATCGAGGGCAATTATGCAGGTGTGAAGATCTGCAGTGGGATTCTGTGGGAAAAGACTGGGCTGCAGTCTCGATAGAATGGACAAGTTAGAATTTTTAGAGCTGGTCAAGTGGATAGGAGGTAACCAGGGGGAAGACTTGGAACTCAAGGGGATACTGGCTAAACTGACCTGACAGCATTCTTGCTGAAGAAAGGTCAGGTGACCAAGTATTTTGTGGAGGATGGAGGACATGGAGCCCAATGAGACGTGAAAGTTTATCAGATATCAGAACTGTGGATTCTTGCTAAACTCACTGAGCAAGGCCCTTTCAGAAGCAGATATTGCATGGAAGTACACAGCCAGGTCTAGAAGAAAGTTCATGTTTGACCAAGGAAAGAATCTTTGTCATGTGTGGGCTGTGGGATCAGAACATCTAGATCCTTTCAGAAGACAGGAAAACATAAAAGTAAAATATATGTCTACATAAGACGGGGAAAGAAAGCATGACTCTCAAGTATAGATGAATATTTGTTGAAGGACTGTTAATTCATCAATTAATAAGGAATTAATGCTATGCATCAAACAATTTGAAGGAAAATTCATAGTACCTTATATTTAGGCATTTGGGATTATGGATATAAATTTAGAAATAGATGAAAAATGTTTAGATGGGAGCAAAGCAATGAGTTTTCTCTTTATCTGTAATAAATCATTATTTATCTTTAGACAAAATCATTTTTAATTCTGTTAGTTTTGTACATTTTACAGAGCTGTCATTAACTGAAAGAAAAGAATGTGTTTTCTTTTCAAAACCAGTGAAATACTAAAATAACAGCAGCTGAAGAAGTCTAGAATTGAAGAAGTTTAGAATTAATCTGGAAAACTGAGATGGTGAAAACTTTTCGGTGCAATGTGAACTAAATTTTTACATCTGCTACAACTAGTGGGAACAGATTCCATCCCAGAATCCTGGTTTCTCTAGCCACACATACAGATCGTTGCCTGCTGTTCAAACTTGCCTCTCATTCAAATCTCTCTTTTGTCTTCTGTTTTCAATAGACTTGACATTAAAGCATCTTCTATGATACAGCTGGTTCTCACGAGTGCCTGCCATTCAGTCACTGTTAACTTTGTCAATGAATACCCTTGGAATACAACTCCGTTTCCTTCCCCCATGAGTTGTCATTATATTTATTTGTAAGCTACAATCAGTGTTTGAAAGACTGCCTTAAAAGTCAACTTACAAAGCTTTTCCTTTTCATTATGCTGGATGTTTATTTTGATGTATTGTAAATAATGACTTGAGGAAGAAATTGGTATGATACTGGATTATAGTTTTGTAGCATACAATCTATGAGATAGTTGACAAACACTTGTAACCTTTTGTTGTGTGGTAGCAATTTCCTCTGAATCGGGTCTAACTTGAGCATTCTATCCTGGAGGGGAGTTAAGATTCAGGAAATTCTAAACAGTGTCTCTTAACGCTTAGAAGCAAACACCTCATAAGTCTCAAGCAGTCCCTGAACCATACTAGATTCACAAGGTCCCTCGTTCTTCAAAGCTATATAAGCCGTAAAGATAGATGAGGAAAGGCTATTTAGCTACTTGTAGGACAGATAGGAAGCTCTGGGTTCTGGTCATTACCCATGTTGGGTTACAGTTTTTAGTGATATATCTGTCTTTGAGTCCTTTATGCTCTTGTAAGTAATCCCAATAAACTAACTGGTTTGGCAAGTTGGACTTAGACATATGGTTATTTTGGTCTACTTTTTGGTTTTCTATCTGCCTCGAATAGATGTTTAGTTATGCCTTTCCAAATATAGTACCACACAACACAAATGATGATGACTGTCAAAGATGAATTATGGAGGAGTGGCTGAATGACCTTTGATGTGGGTGCTGTGGATGTGGCAGTGGCTTATCTGAGTGATGTTGGGAGTGTCCATGGGGAAGATGACAAAATGGCGACCTTTCCCTGTGTGGTATGGGATGGTGTGATGTGTGACTCCTTGTTGTAGTGGTACTTGCTCCTTGTTATGGGTAATTGGATGCGAACCACAGCTGAGCTGTTTGAGCATGAAACTTCCTCTCAAGAGAATCCTAAAATGACCATCTTCGTCACTTGACATGGGGTCACATGCTTCCTTGGTGAGTAGAGTCTACTTCATAGGTATGGGGATTCTACCCAGAAGAGTTGATGAATTGAAGGACGTACTAGAACCCACGAAAGTAACATGTATGAGGCATGATCATAACTAGGTTGTAGTATCCGTTATGTAGTAGTGTAGCTACTTCTATGGGTAGTAATCCACTCAACTAAGGTTCCATGTTTTTTCAGAAAGAATTTGCTTTTCCCTCACCAGAGAATTTTATATACGAGTACACTGCATTTATGTGATTATGTGATTTTCATTTCTCCTTTCCCCTCCAATGTCTACCATTCCTTCTCTTTTCCTATAATTTGTGTGTATGAGTACAATCTTTTGAGACCATTTAGTGTTGCTGTGCTTATGTATATGTGTTTAAGTCTAACTATTTAGGAATGGGGGTTTGTCCCTAAAGACCTTACTTTTTAAGGAAGGAATTACAATGGAAAGAGGACATGTGGTTGCTAGCCTCTACATTAGCTTCTGGTCTCAGCTACTTGACCATTGCTGTCATAAAACACCAAACCAAAAGGATAAGAAAGCATTTATTAAAGCTTACCATCTTGTAGTCCACAATGAAGAAAAGACAACACAGGAGCTTAAGGCAGGAACCTTAAAGCAGGGACTAAACAGAGGCTAAAAGAGCTGATATTTTCTGGCTTGCTCCCTATAGCTTGCTCAATTTGCTTTCTTATTTGCCCTAGGATGACCTGTCCAGGGATGACACAACCCACATTGAGCTAGGCTTTCCCACATTATCATTAATTTCAAAAAATGCCCTACAGGCTGGCACGTAGGGAATCTGCTAAAAGCATTTTCTCTAAGTTTGTGTCAGGTGGACAAAAAACAATAGGAAACCTATTATTTGGGAAAAGTGGGAAAGAGTAAAGAGATTGAGTTACTTCTAGTAGATGGAATGGGGATTCAAGGTAAAGAAAACACAACACAACTTGGGTCTAGTTAAAAAGCCCTTCTCAAGAGCCAAAAAGCTGGTGTCATAGGAAGTGCTGAGGAAGGACAGGCATCACTCTTTACAGATTGGCTCAGAGGATCTATCAGGAACACCTATTACCAGTACAGTCGCCATGAATATCAAGGGCTGGAAGACTAGAGAGGAAAGGCTGGTGTCACTCTGTACAGATTGGCTCAGCCAGTGCAATGAATGCCTGAGTCCTCTCTCTACCCCCAGATAAAATATTTTAAAATACATTGGTGAGGAAAGATACACCAGAAAGCAACATGGCTGTTAATTAAAACTCCCAGTACTAAAGGTTGATTAATTCTCTATGAATTGTTGGCCAGGGAAGTCATAGAGACACCCAAATGATAAGACCATTGCTGTTGGTTACATACTAAGAGAGATTAAAAAGCCTTATTGTTGAAGATTAAACACATATTGGTTACAAGACAGCAAAATGAGGCTGGGACTGAACTGGAAACTCTCTACTATTGGCTACTTTTTGTGATGCTGGAGGATCTGTGCAGTCATCTAGGGGTTAATTATTTTAACTTTGCCATGAACTTCCTAGTGCTATACTATCAAAATGTCAAGCAAGATGCAACTCAGGTGCAATAGTGGCATTTACTATTTTGAGTACAACCAACTGTTTTATGACTAGATTTAATGCCCATTCTTTAGGAAGGAATTATTGGTTGGTACTAAACACCTAAATCATCCACAATGGGAAACATCTTTTCAATAATTAGGGTGTACTACAGAGACACATAACCACCTGTAAGGCTCCTAGTAACAGGTGACTGTTGCTGTGGCATAGTGGCCTAATGCTGTAGTCTTATATAAACATTTATATCACCTTCTCTAAGACTCTGAAAGAGATGGGGAAAGAATGTAGGAGCCAGAGGAAAGAGGGGAGTGTTGTGCAGCTATTTTCTTGGTGTTGAGACATTCCATTCTGGAGGGAAATCCCTTTGAAACTCGGGAAGTTTTATAGAGAGGCCCCTTAAGACTTGTGAATAAGCAATTTACTAGTTTAAAAAAGTTCCTGAAACTTACAGTTCTGAGAAGACCCCTATTTCTCCAATGTTATACAATGGGTTAAGAAGGCTGAGGAGAGGAGACTCCTTGTCTGCCCAGCTGCTTGCAAGTCATACAGAGAGTGCCAGGGTTCCAGTTTTCATGAGTACCCACCAATGCTGAGGTGAGGTATTGTTGACGCAGCCTTCTTTGAGTTGCCCATGTTCCTGTGAGTAATCCCTCATCCACACTCCTGTCAGTAACCTCAAGAAATTCACTGGTTCATCAAATTGGGCTTGAGTGATATTGGTACTTTGGTTTGTTGTTGGTTTCTTATCTGGGGTGAGTAGATGTTTGTTTATGTCTCTCAAGAAATTATGTCACATACTTTTGAGATTTCTTGCTGATTTTTATTCTATTTGTCTACAAAGTGATGAAATAATACAAACTTCAATGATTAAAAAAAGAACTAAGATAATGCGTTCAAATTTCCAAGAATGGTATCTATCCACTTTCATAAAAATTTAACTGTAAAGTGAATAATTCATGCATTGGCATTATTTTATTTAATAACTAGTCCACAGAATTCAGTTCTTCCTCAAATGACTTTCCTATGCATGTCTCTTTGTCCTTCTGTGACTTGGTATGAAAAGCAAGCATTCAGACACACAGACACACACACACATATACTTTTCATTTTCTAAGTGTGTGTTTTCCATGTGTATATATGTGTACATGAATCCTTTTATAACTTTTTTATTTAAATTAGAAACAATCTTATTTTACATATCAATCCCAGTTCCCTCTCCCTCCCATTCTCCCATGCCCCACACCGATCCTCATTCCATCCCTCTTCTACTTCATAGAAAGGGCAAGGCCTTCTATGAGGGATCATCAAAGTCTGCCACATCATTTGGAGCAGGGCCTAGGCCCTTCCCTATGTGTCTAGACTGAGAGAGTTTCCCTCTATGGGGAATGGGCTACCAATGTCCATTCTTACACTAGGTATAAATGCTGTTCCATTACCAGAGAGCCCATAGGCTGCCCAGGCCTTCTAACTGACACCCACGTGCAGGGGTTCTGGTTCCATCCTATGCTGGTTTCCAAGCTGTCAGTCTGGGGCCCATGAGCTCCCTGTTGTTCATGTCAGCTGCTTTTGTGAGTTTTCCTAGCATGGTTTTGACCCCTTTTCTCATCATTCCTCCCTCTCTATAACTGTATTCCAGGAAAACAGCTTAGTGCTTAGCTGTGTGTCTCTGCTTCTGTTTCCATCAGCTACTGGATGAAGGCTCTATGATGGCATATAAGGCATCCATCAATCTCAGTAGAGGGGAAGGGTATTTATGATAGCCTCTCCCCTATTGTTTAGATTCTTAGTTGGGGTCAACCTAGTTTATCTTTGGACATTTCCCTAGTGCCAGATTTCTCTTAAGGAGATACCTTAATAGAGGGAGCCATTATAGGTGTACATGAATTCTTGTGAATGAATATGCGCGATCCATTGTGCATATGTGGAGGTCAGAAAACAACCTTTGGTATTGGGCCTTACCTTCTAAGGGTGTCTTCTATAGTTCTTCCACTCCATACACTTGGCTAACCGGCCATGAACATCTAAGGATTCTTCTCTGTATATTTCTCAACTCCTTGTAAGAGAATCAGGATTACAAATGTCTGCACTACAGCATCTCACTTTATATGGATTCTGGGGGCTCTAACTCAGGGTCTCACACCTTTGCAGAAAATACTTTTACCGTGATCACCCTAGCTCGAACATGGCTTTTCATAAAATGGATACTTGAATGCTGATATAATTTACAGAATTAAAAAGTTTTGTTCTGATCATCTTCCATACCTTTTAGAATAGAACACAACCTAAGCTCATTGCTGTAAAGACCCTAAATGACCAGCACCACTGGCTTGGTGTTCAATGAGAGTGTTAGTGATTTATTTGGATGTATATGGAGTTGGGATCAAGAGCACAGGTGACTATACATGTACAGGGGCCATCTGTCTCTACACATTCTTGGCATCACCATACAAGTTCCAAATCCTTCCCTGGTTAGTTTCAATCAATATATAAACTTTTTTATCGTTAATTATAGTTCTTTAAACTTTTTTATCGTTAATTATAGTTCTTTCTGTGGCTGTTGAAGATCAAACCTTTCTAACAAAAAAGTTTCAATATGTATGGATATAGGGAGAAGATTATAAATTAATGTCTATAGGAAAATAGCAGTTTCACTAGATATTAGCTGATGGTCCATCTCATTTTCAGGGCCAACACACCCTACTGCAATCCTGTTATTTGTTACATGAGAATACTTGCTTCCTTGCAGAATATAAAAGTAGGACAGCTACAGTTTGGCCAAGGAGGAACAAAACACCTCTGTGAATAACAGAGATCTTATGTAGCAGGTCTCAGCTTGCTTCATAAACTCAGGTCACCCAACCTTCAACTTCCAGATGAAGAATGCTATCAAAATGAATGTACTAACAAATCTAAATTGCTTAGGATTTAAGCTTTACCTACACTACTCTATATTTTTAAACATTTGTTTGATTTCCTTCTTTGAGTCTAAGTCACATAATTTTTAGTGTATGATACTGTCTTC